GTACAGTTGTAGCTGTTGACAGCGTCGTTAAATAAGCCATGACGTCACGTGAGCAGCTCCAGCGACGTCAGGGGAGACAGGTCGGCCTCCCCTTGCAGGAAGTTGCTCCTGTCGCTGTAAGGTTCGGTCGGGAAGTTTTTCTTAACCTCGAAGTTCGTCTGAGGGACACGTGACGTCGCTGTGAGGGGCTTTTAGTGTGAAATGGGACGGGACGTTCGTTGCGTGTGATTGGAAAGAAAGAAATATCGAAATACCTGAGAAAATCAGGGACAGTAATGCAGCTGAAAGGAATTCTTTGCAACTGAAGCCATTTTCAGGCGCTTCTCGGCACTGTGCAAATATATAGCACGAAGAGTAAGGGAAGACTATCGAGGCTCCGGAAGCCGGTACAGGAGATGCGTCGCCTAAACCTTGAAGGGAAAATGGAAGAACGTTTTTGGCAGTCCGGAGTGACGAGGAGGTCGCTGCTTATTTCAAGGGGATAACATTAGTGGCAGGTGTTGCATCAAACGGGGTTCAATCCCGGCATTTCCGGAGTAGAAATCCGACCCCTTACCGCTGAGTAAACCTGCTCGCTGTTATTGTAACTTTGTTAAACGAACTCAAAAGATCAGTGAAGGCACGTGTCAACAAGTTTCCAGCCGGATCTGCGTTCGCGTCTCCATGACAACGACCCGGTCTCATCGCGTGCAGGTGCGATTATTTAAATCGAAACTTCCGTGCATTCTGCACATTTATTGGTGTCCGGCGGATAATTTTCGTCGAATATTCTAAGTATCCAACTGTTCGTATATCTCATATTTATTAAACAAACCAAGTTCTTCATTCTATGAAACTCGAAGTTTTATCACCGTCGCAAGAGAAGCCAACTACTTCTGTATAATATTAAAAAATGCTCGCTTAAGTTTTGGTCTTCGTTGGAACATTTTTACTACCAGTCTTTCGTAGGAATATATCGCCTTCATCTTCAGGGTTAGGGGGCGGAGCTCTTGGCTCGCTCCCATAGCAGCCAGTGCGGGATAAAACGATACATCAACCACTATACAGTTCTGTATTCTGTGCACCGTAATTTGTATTATTAACTAACTAATTAACTAGTTCCTTAGAGAAGAGTCTTCCTTTAGAAGTTGCTCAGCTAGTCAAGAGATTTGTCCTTCATGGAATCCGCCCACAAGAGCCCACCACTGGTGCCTGTCCTCAGCCGCATTAAGCAAATACACATCCCTAAACCAGATTTAAGTAAATTCAGTTTTAATATTATCCTTACATGAACGCCTAGGTCTTCCGAGTGATCTTTTCCCTTCAGGAATTTTTAACCAAACATTTTCACGCATTTATCATCTTCCTCACTCTCGCTAATGCACCTCATTATCATCGCCGTTCTTATCATCATCATCATTTGTCATCACTCGTAATAAAATGGCCTTGCGTGTGAGGGGCCACTGATTTCTGATACACCCAACTCATGAATAGGAAGCGCTACTCATGCTACGTAGCATTAATCAGTTGATACAGCGTCGTTATGCAACAGACAGGCACGTCTGAGAGCGGAAACAAATGCACATTGGAGCTTGAAACAGACCGCGTTCGCTTTTGGGAGCTGTCATCCAAGGACAAAAATAGCGTACGCCTGCAGCAGAGCATGCAGGCTTCACGCAGCACATTCCTGTCGGAGAAGTTGCCGGCTATCAAGGGGTTCCAGAATCATTGATCAGAGACCAGGTGTTTCGTTGGTGGAAACGGAGTGGATGGATCGAGGTCTTCGTGAAAAGCTGATAATCGCTTGTGTAGTCAGATTTTCCGTATTTTATATAACAGAGTCTGTAACTGTGCCAATTGAATCTAACCAGTAGCTTCACTCTGTTTCCTTAATATGCATTTTAATTTATCTACTATCCCTAGATATTCCTTCAGATTTATGAATGAACTTTTTATGCCCCCAATGCATCTTGCATGCCCCTGAGAGCGGAATTTTGGTAACATTTTTTAGAAAATTTGTAACAGCGCTGTTCCTCGATACTTATTGTAGTTTATTCTTATCGTCCATCTTATAAATTCACACAATAACGCAATGCTTTCATTGCTTAGGCAAATCATTAATTATTATTTCATATCCTTAGTCTTAGAACGTGATATACTACGTACTGCTTGGATTAATTCTGTCAGATTTTGATCAATACCTGGAGACTTAAATTGTTTCAACTTTTGAATATAGGATTTCAACTCCCCCCCCAAAAAAAAAAAAAGTTGTCAGTGGAACCACGGTTCCGGAGAATTTGACGTAAATACGTCTATACGGAAAGGAAGTTTATATATTGGCTTTATTCTAAATATTTCCTTTATACATGCTTTACAATTGAGTAAAGTTTGATTAAGACTTTGCTTATTTAACTTGAATTAGTTACGTTTAAGATGGGTCTGTGGTAGCTGAATGTAATGTAATGAAATGTTTTATAGGTAACAACAATGCCGAGTAAACAGATGACGTTTCCTAGGTAACCATCTTACACATTTTCCTTTCACTTTTTCGTCACACTTTTTCATCATACTTTTTCGTCACACCTTTTCGTTCCCCTTTTTTGCCAAATGACCCTTCCTTATAGACGTATTTACGTCAAAAAATACTGATAACACAGCTGAATGTACTTCAGTCTGCGTACCGTCGTTGACACACGTTGTACACTTAATAATTGACAAAATAAAAGTCTCTAGTTATTGAGAATATAGAGGGAATCTGCGAGCAGATCGACGTTCGTATTTTTATCAAGTTGGCAACCATTCTTAAATTTATTTATGCTTCTAAAAAATTCTGTAATATTTTTGTTCTTATTCCTTTGAGCTCTTTAAAAAGTCGTGTCTGAGACATTTCGTGTTTCGTTAATGTCGGCGGAGGTGTGATGTTTACTGTTCTGTGCGTTGTTCAGGAGAATTAGCAGTGCTTTGACGTACCGTGCGCTGTGAGGTTACTGGCGGCGACAGTCAGATGTCTCCTATCGCGAGTGAGTTCAGAAAAGCAAAGCAGCTTAAACTCCCTGCAAGTCCGAAGGAAGGAAAGTTTTGTTGCGGGGGTTGTGATGGGGTGAGCGTGCTGTTTTTGTTTTGATACTGTCGACCGTCCAATGGAAGGTTTCACGATTTATAAATTAATTCTTACGAGGGAAATTTATTAAACTTTTTGCGTTGACGAGCGGTTGGAGAAGAAATCTCAAATTTCTGGAACGAACTGAAGTTTGTAACCTGCAGTGACAAAACAGATTGACGTAGAAATAACCATTTAAAGTTTAGTGGTTACTGTATGTTCCACCTGTTTTAACAATAAATAAAGAAAAGTTTTATTTATTTTATATGTTTCGTACGACTCTTACTGCAAACAGCGATTATATTCTTAAACAGCGTTAACCAGTTGATCTTCGTAATGGTGAAGAGTTGTGTTTTCTTCGCGGTACGGACTGAATTCTTAAATACGTAATATTTAGACGAGCTTTGACTTCAAAAGGTTAACCAGTTGATCTCTGTAATGGTAAAGTGTGGTGTTTTCTTCGCGGTACGGACTGAACTCTTAAATATGTTTTTGTAATTAGCATCGGCTTCAAAGGGGTAAACGCGAACAGCGTTAGATAGAAATTTCTCCTGATCTATGCTTATTTCAGGAACCTTAATGATTAAAGACGCTACAGGACGATGAATCAGTGGGATCGAATATCCTTTCATGTTCCCGCGCCAGATGGAGTCAAGGCATCGCATTGCAGTGGAGACAAACGACACGTTTTCTCGGTATAACGGTAGGTAGCCAAGTTGTGCGGTTTTTACTATGCAGCGCGCCCTCCTTACGTGTTAACGAGAGGTCGTGTTTCCTCCTGTAATCAGCACACGTTCATGTCGAAGACTCGACTATTATCCCGAGACCCACCACCGTCCTCACAATTTTCGTGTCTCTTAGCAAATGTTGTTCTGACGTGAAGGTGAAGATGGCGGTCTTATGGGTTGCAGTGTTGTGCAGTCTTGTAGAAGTTTACCGACGTATCAGAGGTTCGTACTGCCTCGATCATCAGGGCGATGTGTACTCTGAAAATCTGTAAACTTCATAATGTGTTATCTTCTTTGTGAGGCTACGTTTAAGTGGAGGATTGCGTTATGATTTTTGTTTATGTCATGGGGTCAGGAAAGTGTGGATTGGATTTATCTGGCTAAGTGGTGGGCTCTACCAAACAGGGAAATGATACTTTAGGATGCATAAAAGACTGGAAATGTGTTGACCAGATGAATAACCGTCAGCTTCTCAAAGTAATGCGATACATCATAGTTGGGCAGCCATTTTGCTAAGGAATTATCTGCGTGTTATCTTCCTGCCTCAACTGAGTAACTACCGCTCAGACTTCTTCAATGACGTGCTGTTTTGTGTGACCTGCAGAGTTCACAGGAGATCGTTGCTGTGACCTGAAGTCTTTCGGATTTGTGGGCGGAAATAATCCGCCGCCATTTTCTTCAATCGACGTACTTTGAGTCCACGGCGTCACACACGTGACGTGCCACGGAGGCGGAACTATTCGTATTGATGGAGCTCTCGCCCTTGGCCAATCAGATGCGAGATAGTGCGAAGGATTTCGTTTAAAGTGTAGTAACAGACAAGAAGCAAGGCATTAAGGCGTATTACTGTGCTAATTCATTCAGTCGTTAGCGGTAATGTCGCTTCTTTTGTTTTATGTTCTCCTTGGCAGTGCTGCCAAATTCTAGCAAAAAAAATTACTAATTATTTTCCCATCTTTCTTTACCGATAAGGAAATTTCAGTTCGCCAGCCGGATCGAAAAACCGCTCGTGCGCGCGGGGTCTAAGACTTTTCATGGCTCTCTCCTCAGTGCCGAATATTTGAATAGTGACTTCTAATACCTACATTGGAAAGAATGAGTTACATTTGTGTGGCTGTCAATACAGTTCACTACTTTGGACATCCTTGAAGCTTTGGTTGCGGTTCTTGAGTTATAATTCTGCATTCTGGTTAAGAGAAAGATTATATAAACGCAACCGAACACCAATCACTGCGTAACAAAATTCTAATCATCATCATCTCCACCCTGCGCAATAGACTCTGCCAACATTCTCCACGACGTTCAAGACGCCGGCGTCCTGATTGCTAGGCCGCTGCTCACTGTTGTTGCGCAAAAACTGTGCAAGTGCGAACGTGGTTACATTCGCATCGAAATTGTTCGCTAAACGTTTAGCATTGCGGGTAAGACAAACTATGCCGAGTGGTAAGAAAATTCCGTGTGCGCTGTTGTCTTCCAGAAGGCGGTGGACATTCTCGACCATCTGCTGTTAAGCTGTTCTGTAATTTATTCTAAAAAAAATTAAACGTAGAAAAACATTTTCGTCTATCGTTTTACACTGAGGTCACCAAATATTGCGGACGCTGTTCTAGTACGAATTGCGATTTTAATGGAACACTCTCTATTGCGTACTTTCTGTGTTTGTTTCGACACCAGAGACATTGCTGGTAATCGGAAGATTGGAAATAATATTTCGCCCAAAATCTTCACCCCTCCCCCCCCCGGCCTTCTCGCCTTGCGACGGCGTTTATACCGATACGGGCTCATGCGCCGTGGGGTCTCTCCGACAAGTCGGATGCAATTCGAAACCTCGACTTTTCAGAGAAGTTTTCTCGAATCTCGTTCAGTTTAACTGATAGTCCTTAAATAATAGACACGCGTCGAGTATTTCCCCCAGACTGACGCTATGTGACCGACGCAGTTGGCAGAGCGTTGTTAAATACGACACACTTAGCCTACAAGTTATCCCCCCCCCTCGTGTCCCTTGTCCTTCTTTCCATCCTCCCCGAAATGTTTGTGCGTGCTGTTTAACTTGCAGGAACTTACGGAGTTTTGAGGCAGTCCGAAAGTTGAGAGCTAGAGGCTTGTGGAAGTTACGAACTGGCTTCTTGCAGATAAGAAGAGTATTTCAAGTCGGGGCCCCGCCCTGGGCGTAGGCCAATCTGCGTCGTGCACCTGCTGTCTGAATTATTGTGTTATGAACTACCTCTTTATTAGGATTGTCTAATGACAGAGGCTTTGATGGGCGGGGCATGTAGCGCGTATGAGGTGAGATCAGAGATACACAAAAACTTTGCTTGGAAAGCCTGAACTGCAGATATCAGTGGGAATAGATGATCGCAGACTTTGAGAAAGGTAAGTTTAGAGGTCATGGATTGGATTAATCTGGATTGTGACTTGTGCTGAAAATCTTGTGAGCGCAATAGTAAACCTCTGGGTTTCACAAAAGAGTGAATCTTTTGCGGTTCTCATGCGTTGGCCGGAGTGGTGACCCCTGCAATTCAGGCTGCTGTGCAGTGCAGCTGTGTCGGAGAAGTTATCGCACAGCCACGGCGTTCTGTTCCATGTTTTCCTAGCGACCTGTCTTAACACTGAAAGGCTCTCTACGGATAATTACATAATAATCATTAATATTTCTGTATTTTTAAATAAATAAATAAGAAAAATATTGCAAGAACAGATACGGGAGTGTAATACGTGTTGATTATCTTTGTCAGAAACGTCTTATATGGATCGGTCACTCCAGTTCGTTTTTGTGTCTACGATGAAACCTCGCAAAATTCCGTATTGGATGTTTTGCGACATTTGCTGCAAAAATTCTTCTTTTTCGTCGCTGGGAATAATTGACAACCTAGAAACTAGACATAGCCATGTTGTGTGCAAACGGGACACATCACAGGACGTTCAACAACGCGGTTCACTATTGGGTTCCGAATAACTCTGTTTCTCCTGCCGTGTCTTTGAAGTACCATTTACATTTGCGCCTTATTTTTAACGACGCTAATGCGGAAAGCAGGAGTGGATGCAATATTTGGCTCTGAGCGTCTCTGGGGTGACCAAAATGCAGAAGGGGACAGAGTACGTCTCTTGAAAAGGGTCTAGGGGTCGTGTGGGGCTGTCATACCGGGTATGAATCCCTGGGCGCAAAGCAGCAATGAGTTTCTTGAACAGGGGGTCCTGGTTACGTCCGAAGTCCGTACGATAAGCTGCCTACTACGTACGAGAACGACATCTGCGAATCTAAATTTTAATTACGCTTTTCGACCCTTTGAATAAATAAATAGGATTAATGCACGGGAGATTCTAGAGGCTCGCTCTGTTCCAGACGCTAGATATGGACCTGTCGACAGTCAGGCCGGTGTTCTACATCCACGGGATCCAAACAAAACAATCATCGTTTTTAATTCGGGTCTGAACTGTGTTTTATTCTCTTTGAGAGCCGCAGGCCCCCCGTGTCGATAACTGATATTGCGATAGCAGTGCGACCGACCCTTCTGACAGCGACATCTGTTTCAGGTTGAAATAATATTATATTACCGCGATCCCTGGCGGGCGCGGGGGAGACACCGACACTTCCACAATATAGTAACTACGAACGCAACCAGAGCTCACCACAGGTCACTCACTGTTACCCATGTTAATGCTCACTTTAAGGTAAGATAATTATATTATTAGTTTGTTTTTAACGATTATTTTCAAGGACGGTTGTAAATTTTTACTTTAATATTGAATCATTAAAAATTTGTTTAAAAGTAAGTGCATTCTCTCAAGGTAATCAGTTTCCAGAATGTAACATATCGACATTACGAAATATTTTGCGTCATATAATGGCAACAGATTTCATGAGTTAAATGATTATTAGCCGTCTAAAGCCCAGTGCTTGCTGTGAAAATAATTAACTTTTAACTTTGTATTTATGGGTTTTGTAAGATTCTCACTGTAAACAGCGATTATTTCCTTAAACAGCGTTAACCACTCGATCTTTGTAATGGTGAAGTGTGGTGTTTTCTTCGCGGTACGGACTCTCTGTCTAAATATTATGTACGCAATGCGTGTCTCATTATAAACAGCGATTATTTCATTAAAGAGCGTTAACCAGTTGATCTTTGTAATGGTGAAGTGTGGTGTTTTCTTCGCGGTACGGACTGAAGAAGCTTTCGTGTTGCGAAAGAACTGTCCAGGACCCACCTGTACCTTCGCTTGGCGTGAAAATGTCAGCTTACTTAAGCGTGAGCCCATGTGGGAAAGTCTGTTTGTTGTCCCGCAAGACTGTGGTTGCGATCTGTCGGACGGTTCCATCAAACTGCAAACTACATAGCAATTTAATTACTCGCCAGCCGCCCCCGTGCAGAAGACCGCAGCACCTGCTAGGAGCTGTGATCACCACCCGGTGCTCTGAAAATACGTTCACTGTTTGCCGACGCAGGAGAGGCAACGAGGACTGCCGATTGCCCCACAAGCAAAGAGGAATTGGCAGCAACGCCGAACACGATATTCCTAAGTGCTGATGATGTAGACAAGACTTAGGAACATATTTTTATATTTTGTAACCGAAAATCCATTAGCAGTGCACAGCTTTCTCAGTTTCTCTCCGTTACTGGTTGCTAGGTGACCATAGCTGGTATTGTAGCTTGGTAACCGTACGATGCGTCGGGCGAGGACTGTGATACGTCTCGACCAAAAGGGAATGTGTATGAGCGGGACTGTGAAAGTAAACACAGTCTTGTCGGAGAAGTTGCTGCACAGAACATTCGCTTTTCGTGTTGTAAATGTCTGCAAGTTTTAAGGTTTCTGTCTTCTGGGTTGTTGCGCCGTGTAGTCTGGTCGATGTTAACCAACGCTTCAGAGGTCATACTGCCTCCATCATCAGAGTTTGAAGGTTTCTGTCTTCTGGGTTGTTGCGCCGTGTAGTCTGGTAGATGTTTACCAAAGTTTCAGGGGTCATACTGCCTCCGTCATCAGGGCGATGCAAGTTTTGTGTTTCAAAAGTAACGCCAATAGTAGTGACATGTAGGTCTCGTGCTGAGTGTTCAGAAACACCCTGTTATTGTGACTCGGGTCATGCTGAAGGAATTCCTTCGGTTATTGAAAAGTCTCCGTCATACTGTCGACGATTTCAGAATTACATATTTTCGGCTCTTCGATATCTCGTGCCACTGTGGAGGAAGCAACCGGCTTTTCGACATGGCAGGGTCTTATGTGACCACAATAATGCTGCAGATATCTTCCGTCATTCGAATGGCGTTATTAATTCATTCATTTGCAGTCATTCGAATAAAAATCCGAACGAAAACCATGGAATTCTTTCTTTCGTTAGTCCCGGTATCACTAATCGCCACGTAATGTCATTTGTACTGCGCTACAATCTGTTAGCAAGATAGGTAATGCAATAAGCTGTTGGGGACGGTAACTTAGTCGATAATAAGGATGACTATTATTTAACATACACAACCGCTCTATTTCCATAATGCATAAATAAATATGCGGGCTTTCATTAACCGTATGAGACGCTATCGATCAGACTGAAAGCTTGCGTTTTGTCGTGGTTCCCGAAATGGGCCCGACGCTACGACAGGTCGTCAGTTGTGAAGTTTTTCAGTCACTGCTGAATAAAGTATTCACGACAGTTAAGGTGGATGGTAACGGCTGACCGCAGAAATACCCAGCATTCCGCGCTTCGTCGTGGCAGCTTTTAATTTCTTTAATTACTCATCAAAGTGATGTGTTTTCACATGTATTGCTCCTGCCCGTTAATTAAACTCACTGTTTTAAATAAGTTTTTAACAAAACAGAGATGGTTAGCTTCTGAAATCATTTTGAGCTTCAGACATAAAATATTCAGTGTTTTCAATTTTTTTTATTTTAAATATATTTTGTAGCATATACGCAGTAAGCTTAATCCTGCTGTCTCCACTGCAAAAAGGGATGAAACAGTCAAAGGTTGGCAATGGCAGTGACCACCATAGAGATTAGAAACTTGGATATTATTTTTAACAATGGTGGTGATATTTAGTAGCGAAGTATTTGTCAGGCTTACATTTGAATATTCATAGTAATAAACACAATACATTAATGTTAGACTCTTTCAAATACTGAATACTGTCATTTTATTTATGTGAAAAAGAATTGTGCGGTTGGGACTGTGTTAGACGATTGTCTCTCATGATGGAAACGAAGTGAGGTTACTGGACATTGACTGAGACCGGAATACGTATTTTTGAAGTTAAGAAATGTAGCCAGCTTTGAAATATTTACATACTTTGTAAATATTCTTGATAGAGAATTTCAAAATGCTGGGCTTAGGTGTTTATCGAGGTCAGACATTCCATCCTTATGATGGTGAAGACCTACAGAAAATTATTTATGAAGCAAAGGAGAATGGATTAAAAATTAAGTATAATGGTGGTTCATTTCCTGTAGTAAACAGCGATGGAACAGAAATTATAATTAATTTAGATAATATGAGAAGAGTTATCTGTTATGATCCTGAGGAACAAACATTCACCGTCGAAGGCGGTTTAACCATGGCTGAAATGCTGCAGAGTATGGAGTTCCTAAATTTTACATTAGAAATGTATGGCATAATTCCAAACATGACAATTGCTGATGCAATATCTGTTGGCCTCACAGGCTCAAATGGAACAATTGCAAACTGCTTGTTAAGGTGTCAGGTTCTATATGCTGATGGTTCATTGATTGACTTGGTGTGGCCTGGTCCAGATGAGGTCCCAAACAGGTTTTCCAACATTCCAACTGAAAGATTGATACCAACATTGCAGACTGTAGTGTGTGGACTTGGACTAGTAGGCGTTATATATACTGCAACTTTCAAATGTACTCCCATTCACTTGGCCCAGGAGACAGTATATGAGTGTCCTTTAAGTGATATAGCAAATAACTGGCAACAACTGTTGGATGGTCTGTATGGTTATTTGTATTGGTATCCTCTTTTGGACAGAGTGATCATTAAACGAGCAAGTTCTGTGAGGTTTCATCTGGGGCATTGGCAGCCGTGGTGGAAGAAGTGTGTAGAAATATTTTATTGGAGTATTCACTGGCTAGTGAACAGAGCTAGTCCATATTTGGCATGGTATGTCCCTTCATTCACCAAGAAACTGTCCCAAATGCAGTTTAATTTGGCTATGAAGGCTTCATCATGTCGAATGCAGCACAGCTTCCGCCCTCAGTTGTTTATTTCGGTGGGATCCTACTGTCGAGGAATTGAGTGGACTCTTCCTGCAGAAAAACTGCAAAATGTGGTGCAGGATATTGGGAACTGGGCTGAGCATCGTTTCTATCTGTGCTCAACACCAATACTTATTACAGTACAGACTCACCAAGCACTCACGCTTCATCACCCGCATCTCTGTCCTTACAGTGAAAGGAGGACCTGTACCTTGTGGACAGACTGGTTCAACAGTAGGAGTATCACAAGCAACTACTCAGCAAATATGGCTGAATTTGAAGCTCTGCTGCAGAAGAATGGAGGTCGCAAGTGTTGGTCTGCTGGTCCTGTGTATGCTTCGCCTCTTATTGGTCGAATGTATCATGGCTATCGACAGTGGTGTGATACCAGAAAGAACCTGGATCCATCAGCGATGTTCAGAAGTGCTTATGTAGCAGGTGATCTGTTTGTAGAAAGTTAAAAAATTTCTTCAGTAGTTCGGGAATAGCTATATTTATTCTTGCTGCTGGTTTATATTGCTTCTAGTCTTTCCTTACTTACAGAAACATGTAAGAAACAGAACATTTACTATTATTTCCTTTGAATAAAATACTCCGGTGTTCCCTGCAGTTTGGTTGAACACAATATTTTTAAACATGATTGTGTGATTATATATATTATTTTCAAATAAAGCCACTTTGAAAGTGATGGGGTTTTTGTACTCTGAATCAGTAAGAACCTCTCTTAAATTGTTTCCTCTATGTGGAAGTTTTCCAGAGCTACCAACTGTGTTACACTAATATAATTATGTGCTTACTACATTCGTAGTGTAAAGTTGTAGCTAATTAAATACAAATCGTTTGTTTCTTAATTTGCCATAGGATTTGGGGATGGTTAATAAATTGTGTCGTCTCTGTGCCAAAGAAAAGGAAAAAGGCTTTGAAATCTATCAAGCAGAGGGGTTGAAACTTAACCTATCGTCAAAAATAACAAGATGTTTGCAGATTAGGGTAGGATCCAATCTATAACTTAAAGAATAAAACAAACAAATGGAGACTGAGGAGCATGATTTCCTTATATGCTATAGATGGTTTAATTACCTTATTCCAGGTTTACCCAGAAGATGTGCTGCCAAAAATGGTTTGTATTGACTGCTGTCTTAAGCTAAACCAGAGCTGTGAATTTATTGAGACAAGTTCACAAGCTCAGACATTATTGCAGATGACTGTTGGAGCCCAGAAAGGAACAACTGTGGAGGGTGTAGGTGTTTATAATGTAGTAGGAAACTTGTTCACAATATACATTACCATGACAACAATGCTACACAGAGATACAGGAGGTTGAGTAATTTACCTTCCTCATTGTCGGTTTTCACAGCCACAGAATCTGCAGGATGCCAAAGATTTTGTTGAATGCATTCTTTTGGAGAATTCAGTTCAGCATGGTAAGTAATTTCTGAAAGAATAAGTACATTTTATATAATTTTGAAACTAATGCTGGTTGCAGATTTAATACAGATTTAGGTGATTCTCCCAACACCAAATAGTAAGTAATAGTATTATCCTCATCACTACTATTTTCTTTGCTCCTTATCACAGTACTATGTTGTTTATTGTCAAACATAATGCTGCATGTCTTTAATCCCTGTAAAATTATTATGAATATTTTTGTCAGTTTTGAGTTAGGTCCACTAATTTTATGGTGAGGAAGGTGCACGTAGGTGTAGGATCTAGGATTCTTAATCTTTCAAATCCAGAAATTTAGTACAGGTGAATGAAGTATCCTGAAAGGGTACTTAACATTTTTGCAAATTGAAGTAAACAACATCTGTAATTGATGGCAAGCCTATCAGTTGTGAGGGTCAACAGATAACAGTAAGTAAAACTGAAGAGAGTTTCTTGGTCTACAGATTTCGTAATTTCCCAAATTGGGAAAGTTATGTTGAACTAAACTGGTTTGCTAAAAGTTAAATGTGATATTTTGTAAGTCATTGATGGAACTGTGATCCTTGAAAGGTTTTTTGTGGATGTACTCTGGCTGTCTTAAAGAAGCAGACACCACGATAACACCCTAGTGCCTTTCCTCCAACGTCCATCCTTCTCACCATTCATGAATAACTTCTTGAAATAAGAAGGTGCTATCATGTGAAATGAACTCAGAAACAGACTAACTTGGCGAGCTCTGTACTTAGTTACATTAAATTTTGGATGCTGACCATGCTTTATAAATGATCCTGCACTTACTGCAGATCCATTTTTAATTTTTTGATTATTTTATAATTGACACCTAATTAATTTGTTCATTTTATAGCTGTTTTCCTTTCAGTTTTGAATCATATTTTGTAGAATTACTTCCACCACAACAACAACCTGGAAATGAAGGAGAAAGAGAGGAAGTATTGAAACCAACAAGAAGGAGAAGCCAGTTATATGATGAGGATTTTAATAAGTTCAAGGGGAATGGAGTGCAGATGTCGGATACTGCAGACACTATAAAGGGACCAGAGACAGACCTTCCAGGGAAAGCGTCCTTACGGCAGCGTGTGCGACTGGAGGACTGTTACACGTGGCAGTGTACAGACTGTCCTACTGTATTGGCAACACTGCAAGAGTTGAAAGATCATCATCACCTGGTACATGATCAGGCTGTGCACTTCCAGTGCGTTGAATGTGCAAAGGTGTACACAGTGTACAAGAAGTTTACAAGACACGTTAGACTGCATCGAAACCATGGGAATTACAGGTGCTTAACTACACTGAGAAGTCTCTTCCTTGCTTGGTTGATGGTTGTAAGGCATGATCAAACTAGTTTGTTACTGAAGGTGTGAGAACTGAGATACTGTACTCACAAGAATGTGCGTTTAGTCTTCTTCAGCGTGAACACTTGTTCCAACATTTCTGCCAATGCTAGCAGCATCCCTCAGATTGAGTTTTTGAAATCACCAATATTTACTTAATTGCATTTTCTTACATTGTTTTCACATGAATGGATTGTTTGCCCATAAATGTTCTATCAGTTACTATCAGCCATCAACTGGTGTCTAAGTACGCACTCTGTCATTGAACACTGAATATGCAAACTGACCCTTTCTAATCTTTGTAAGATGTTCTTGCCATTGAGTGATCCACTGATGTCATGATCTGTACTTTCTTTTCTCTAGCAGTTAAATTGCAGTGTCATTACAAACTTGGTTTTGATATAAAACAAATGTTTTTGCTGTCAGGTGCAGAGACTGTGGGAAATCATTCTCATCAAAGCAAGCGATGGAGAACCACGCAGTGCTTCATTCTGATGCCCGTCCTCATTCTTGTTCAGACTGTGGCAAGACGTTTCGTCAGATCGGCTCCCTTTACAGTCATCGTCACGTTCATCAGGCTGACCAGAATGGATTCTCTTGCTCCACATGTGGAAAACTGTGCGTACCATTATCAGTCCTTTCTGTATGCTGAATATGCTCATGATGACGGTAATTTTCATCAAAATACCTCTTTTTTATGGTTAGTATTCCTTATTCTTTCCTGTGTTAAACATACTTCATATTACAAAATGTACTGGTCCCATCATTTTAGAGGCCCTCCAAAGTATCTTCATTCTTTGCATTGATATTGTACTTAATTTTTAGTGGGGGAATTCTGTCGGTCAACTTTTGGTATATTTACCTTAATTTGAGGAAAGAAGTAACTTTCAAGCTTTGAAGTCACCATGAAAATTTTGTATCTTATGTGTGTATGATGGACAGATTGCTGTCGCAACAGTCACTGGAGGTTCACAGGAAAACTCATTCTGGTGTACGTGACTACACGTGTGATGCGTGTGGGAAAAGCTTTGCAGTAAAGCAAGGATTAGTATATCACATGATGTCACACTCAGGCGAACGTCCGCACTGTTGCCACCTCTGTGGTAAAAGGTAAGGCTGTATTTTCTCCCAACATAATTTCATACTGCACTTTTGCTCTGACACTGGCATGTGATGGATAAAAACTACTTTCCCACCTCACTGCTCAGTTAAAATGAAGATAACCTTACCCTTTATTTTCTAGATGCATGTTTACATTTATGTTCTGGAGTCTGTGTCGGCGTTGCTACTGGTTCTTGTCTCTCGTTAACCAGGTCAGATTACAGAATGACAGAAAGGAAACTGGGGTTGGGGGGCAAAAATATATTCCCGTATTCATGTGTTAATATTGACTATTTGCAGTTCATTTTAAATATATTCAGTACACTTATAATCTGGTGATCATCGTCCAATAACTGTTTTGCAAATGCATCTGCTGCTTCTGTTCTGACTTTTAGATTTTTCAACAAAGTTCTCCATTAGCGACCCATAAAGCTGTTGTCATTACCATTGATGTGTATAATTAAAACTTTTTTTTTAAACCTTGTCGTATCTGTAATAACTGTCGCCATCCAGATGTATTTATATTTTTGATTATAAGTGACACATGGACATTTTCAGATGCAAGACAGTTTACCTGCTAAACAAACATGTGGCAACGCATTCAAATGTGAAGGTTCACCAGTGTGACGTGTGCGGAAAACAGTTCCGGGAGAGTGGTACCCTCAAGCTACACACTCGCATCCATACTGGCGCTAGGCCGTATTGTTGTGAGTTCTGTGGTCGTCACTTCCGCTTCCAGGGTGTCTATGTAGTGAGTATCAATTTCACATTCTTTGCTCAGAGACCATAAAACTGGACACGCAACACATGTACTTACTAGTAATATTAATGGTTCTACTTATGTTCGTTCATCAATTGCTCACTTTTCACCCCTGAAGAGCCTATTTTGTCTATGTCCAAACTTTCCATACTCTGCTTTGTAGATTCTTGCTCAATTTATTTGTCGTCCTAGACCATTAATTTCCCTCACAGTCACTTTACATCATCATACTGTTAACGAAACCCTGCTGTCATGTTTGTATAACACACCCACGTATCCTTAATTTTTATCACCTGTGCATCACTGCTTAATGCAATATTCAGCTGGCTGTATCTAGCCGTACGTTGCAGTAGTGTACGAGTAAACAATGTAAGTCCAACCAGCAGTCCTTGTTGGTTCAGAGTTTAAATCTCCCATTTCTGTATGATAATAGTTAATGTCACAATATTTTCATCTTCACCGCCATGAGCCTCAGATCTCATATTTGATGTACCCCTTGCAGATACACAAGCGACAGCACACAGGGGAACGTCCATACAGTTGCGGTGAATGCAAGCGAGATTTCACTAACTGGGCCAACTATAATAAACATACCAAATGTTGTCACGGAGGAAAGTGTAGATCGACATTAGCACTTGCTGAAGACCAACATCCTCCTGCCTGTAATTATAGTTCTGCAAATAACAAACAAAATGTTCATATGAGCCAAATAACAGATACTAGTACTCCTGTCACTTCCTACAGATTATAGCAGTAAGAACGCAATGCGACCTCAAATCTTCAATGGAAATATAGCAGAGTGTGGGGTAACATCTGATGAGTCAGCTTCTATTACAAAATTAGACAAGATGATCAGTTCTTTATGTTCTATTGAAGGAAGCCCAAAACTTCATATGTCTGCTTCAGTGGCCGCTAGCTGTTACTCTTATTCGCGGTTATATTCGCATCTTCCAAGCGTTGCACCTGGTGCTTCTAGGTGCTACATTTCATCAGATGTGAATAATGAGAATGCAAATGTCCATGTCTCTTATCCATTTTAGTTTTAGTCACTTGTGCATGTTTTTAATTTAATTTTTAAGCTATTACCAGGCCATACACAAGGTGTGGAGGTGGTCACCATGATCTAGTGCTGAGGTCAAGAACAAGTAGGAGCTGTATTTCCTCTACTTCCCCAAATTGCTTTCAGGGACATTTGTTTTTAACAGACCACTGATCAACAGTCATGACCTATGTATAGTGTTTCGCTTTTTTCTTTATGTAAAGAATTTGTAGTGGGCAGCCAGTGTTAGGCCATACCTATTGCTTCCAGAAATAGTGTTTATAATTGTGCAGTTCCCGTGAATTTTGCTTTTTTCCTGTCCCATGTAATTTTATTTGTTTTCAGTATTGTTGGGTTAGGAATCATGTTTTGAGATGAAATAATATGCCGTGAAAGCTGCTTAAGTGTCTGTAAAAATTAAACGGTGGTGATGGTAAAAGATAGGTTTATTGGTCATTGTCTTATTTTTGTTTTATCCAGTCCTAATAAAAATCAAAATTCCCGCTTTCAATCCAAACGTTTAGGGAAATTTTGGTGATATTTGAATATATTGTTACAAGGTGGCAGCACCAGTGGTACTGTGTCTGCTGCCATCTATGGCGTTTGTTATTGATCTGACGGAAGCTCGTACCGATGCGGAAGACGGAGAAAAAGGATGGTATTGGTTCATAGGTTGCCGCTGCATTTGAATATGCCGTAAATTTCAGTCGGAAAGGAAATTTAATGTCTTGCTTGATGTGCATGAAACTTGTAATCTGCTGCGAGGATACAAAATTAGAAGGATATTTGTACGGTACGCAACTTAATGTGTTCTTTGGTTGGATACAACGGTGATGACGTAATTGCCTCATCACCCTGTCGCCTTTTTTAGTAGTAGACATGGGCTGTTTTCAGAACCTGCAATATATTTTAAGGCCTACATTTATTTTAATCAGCAATGAAAACAGCATAGTTATGGGACAGGATCTTTGTCTGAAAACTTTACTTAGTAAAGATCTACTTTACTATGAGGCTCTTTGTGCAGAAAATGTGAATCACGTTTCGGAGTTGATTTGAAAGCAATGAAAAGGTGAAGGTGCGATGGCAAGAAGTAATATCGGAATGAGCTAGGAGCATTTTCGCAGATCTCTTCTAAGATCTGAATTGGATCACATTCCGTTGTTGGTCTGGGTTAGCATAACGCTGCATGCACTCTAATTTATATTACATACATTTTGGTATGGTTTGTGAGAGACTTGAGCATGTAGCCCATTTTGCAATATTACGCCTAACCTAAAACCGAAAATTTCATCTCCATGAGAATCTCAAATTTCATATAATTACAGTTATTAATTTTGTGGTTAGTTATGGGGACTTTGTTCTGCCCCCAATTAGGATTCGTAAGTTAATTTGTGTCTTAAAAGTGTTGATAGGTACGATATGACGCCCCGAAGTTGGAGACATTATGTTTCCCCGAAACATAGGTGTCGTCCACAAGGCCACACCGCGTTACAACCCAAAAGACCAACATCGACAAATCAGTTTACGTTTCATGTTAGGACATCGCCCTGGCAACAGACATAAACATGTGTAGTTGGTGCTTTATGTAGTAGGTTGGCTATTCTGTACCCGGGCAGCAGCTCATATTCGAGGTTCGGGCTGATGGCTGTCGGCTAACAATTTTGTTTCAAATATTCGCTTTTTATGCTTTGTTTTCATTATGCCGAGGATAAAAGCATCCCCAAAGAAATGTGTGAAAACGTCAAATCCTCAGCAGTCCTCAAACACATGGGTATTTCTACTGAAAGGTGAGAATAGCACTCGTTTTAGCGGGTCCTAAAGGAGCGTCTATTTGGGAAAGGTTCATTGTCAATGTCAAAGATGTTCTTTCAATTAAGTTTTTGTTTACGCTGTTGCCTTAATGTTGATTAGTTTTCCAATGTTTTCATATTTATAAACATAGTTTTTGGCTATCGTAACGGTAACGAAATAAATTTAAATCGTTTAGTATTTTAAAAAGGAATGGTAAACCTTTGTTTGTTCAAATAACCCTCAGGCTAATTTTAAGCATGGCTTTTTGTGTTTGTATAGATTGTCTTGATCCATTCTGTTATGATTTAGGTGAAGCTTTGGAAGTTCCTGAAGGGTTTGCTGGTACTGGGACTCCTGACATAGTGCAGTTGAGGCATCCACAGTCAGGAACACCAGCTATGTTCTTATTCAGTCCAGGAGATGGGATGGTTCAAGAAGTTTTGACATTTTCAGAAAACAGAAGGTAAGCAATGCACAGGACTTGTTGCATGAAAGAAGTGATGAGTAGCATTTTAAATGTTTGGTTTAAAGAACTGATCAATGTTTTACATTTGTCAGATCTTGGTTCATCGAAGAATCAGTCAAATCAGATGGAAAGCTGCACCTGTCAACGCCAATTGATCCCATCTTTCTTGCTCTTCCTTATCTGAGAAAGGTGTGTACAAAATAGAACATACTTCAACTACAGTTTTTAATACCCAGTGTAATAAGGCTGCATTAGTACGTAGTTCCTCTCAGATATCAATTGCATGCTCTTTATGTGCTTAGTATAAAACTTTATACAGCTCCCCTGTAAAATTTTAGTTTTTAGTTATGTTAGTTGTTTGTATTGGAGGTGTTTATTGGATGTCTTAAAATAACCATTGACCTTTCAGTTGTGTTAATGCATTTCTTTGTCGTGTGTGTTTGATTCATTTGCCTCTGTCACGCACTGTTGATGTACGTCAGAAATATCAACACTACAGTCACTAAAGTGATAAGCTATTTGGCTGAATGACCAGGGTTTAATTTGTTTAAAGAATGCGAGGGTTTTCCTCTTTACCATCTTGTCCAGCGCAATCCACCTGATCGGTGGGTACGCGCAGTTATTCAGGTTAAACAAGTCCGATGTATGAAACTGCCAAGTCGTTGTCTCGTAGTCATGACATTTATGTAGTGAATGCTGTTATGACTGAGGGTTTACATAGTTTTACCCAGGTTTTCCAGACTGATGCTAGGATAATGTCTTGAAGTAGGCCTTGACCATTTCATCATACACAGTAAGTTTCATTCAGTTTTAAATAAGCTCCATTTATTACTTTGAAGGATGTACCAGTCGTTGTCTCGTAGTCATGACATTTATGTAGCAAATTAGTGAATGCTGTTCTGACTGAGGGTTTACATAGTTTTCCCCAGGTTTTCCAGACTGATGCTAGGATAATGTCTTGAAGTAGGCCTTGACCATTTCATCATACACAGTAAGTTTCATTCAGTTTTAAATAAGCTCCATTTATTACTTTGAAGGATGTACCAGTATTCTCAAGCTACTCGTCAGCGTCTGATACTACCGGCCGCTCTCGTAATTTTTAACATTTACATGTCTGCCGTGGCTGAGCATTCTGCGTTATAGTATTATGATCAGAAGTTGATCATTATCTTCCAGGTTGTGACATCACGTAGGTAGTATCATGATCAGAAGTTGATCGTTATCTTCCAGGTTGTGACATCACGTAGTCTTGTTGGCAGAGTCTCGTAAGAAAGTTTTATCTTCGGGGTACAATATCATGTGCCCGTTCTTAGTATTGGAAGGATGTGCTAGCCTGTGATGCAATTCCAGTCTTTTGCAGTGAATTTGATGTGTTTTTTAATATTATGCTTCCCCTTCTGTGGTGTTTTCCATGTATAAAATTAGCAGGTTTTAAAATCGTACCCGTTTTTCATTTACCGCTCCTTGATTGTGTTCTGTCGTGCTTCCTCAGACAAGTCAGGCGATGCCTCTGGACCAGTTGCTGAAGGACGAGGAATTCCCAGAGACCGAGAGGTTACTTCGATCCACAGGCCTCAAACATCTGAATCAGGTTGCAGACAGAAAAGGTATGGAGCTTACGGCAATATTTAGATTTGTTAACAGATTATTTATGCTCAGCAAATGCTTGACTGATGTGAAGGTTTGTATAACGGATGAGCTAGACAATCTTTTGCGTTCTTTACGGCAGTGTTTTCCGGTCAGCATATCAACTGCTGACAGTCTACAACTTAATTTATATTTATCCACACATTCCAGTTAGCATTCTGTTATGCGTATGTACGTACGTAGGCCCACGTACTTTACCACAGACTCACTGAGTGATGCAAGGTCTTCCTTTAGAAAATTTGATAGTTGCTCATTTGGCCACGAAATGCCTGATGTTTATGAACCTGAAGATTTTATCACGTGTTAAGAAAGTTTCTCTTGAACTTTCTTCTGAGCCAGCTGAATCCTCTCCCAACATAATATTATCTCATCAATGCCAAGGTCTCTTTAGTGGTTTCATTCTGTGATGTCATTTGTTATTAGGAGATGAAGATTTGAATGCCTACAAATACAGCGAGGAAAAGACGTTGAGCTGGCTTCAGCGAAAAACAGAAAGAGTGGCCGAAGTTCTGAAGCAGAAGGGCATTCATGTGTCGGGTGGAGCCGTCTCAGCAACATTCGTAAAGAGCGGGAAACCAGATCCGTCTGACTCTGGTAAGCCTGAAACTAACACGTTCATGTATTTAACTTCTGTTTGTTGAAGTTGTAAAGTTCTGGCAATTAAACTGAGGTACCAGTGGATAAATTGTAGGAGGTAAATATGAACGGCATTGGCGTCGTCCTGAACACTCCTTTGATCTACTTTTTTTGACAATTAAGCGTATTTATAGCATTAAATTAATTATCGGCATATAACTTTTACTATCCTAAGTCAATTGTTTGTGCTGATTTTGTATATAACTTTCAGTTTCTTTGTGTGCTTAAAATGTTTTAAATCTTATCTGTCATTTTGAGGCTGAAACTGCTTGATAGAATTTTATTAAATGTGGTACGGTATGCCTACACTAGATTTTGTTGACACTCTGTTTAAAACATGCAAGAAATATAAATTCCAATTGCAACGTACTTCTCTGATGGCACGTAGAGTCGAATAACGGATTTGTTCTTTGTGTTTGTTGGGAGCAGAGTCATACCTTAGGTATGCGCATGGGATTGTATCAGAATACCTGGCAGAGGACCTAAGTATCAAGCTTCTGAAGTACCTGAGCCTACCTGAGGAAAAGTCGTCGGAGAGCCACGGAAAACGCAAGCTGTCGGTGGCACAGTACGGTGGCAACAGCAATGCCGGCACGCCACCTTGCGCTCCCGCAGGAGAGCTCTTCAAAAAGGCCAAGCAGGAAGACCTGGCCAACGGAGGAGTTCTGGATCTCACGAAGCCAGAGAAGGTGACAGTCACACTCTCGTTGTTCTTCCATAACTTTAAGTAACTTAATTATGCAGTCAGTACAAGTAATCTTTTTTTAAGCTCATTTTGTGCTCTTAACAATGTCTTGACTATGCTACTTAATTTTTGGGTGCTCAATGTTTGTGGCACGTACGTCGGTAAGTGTGGAGACGAGATCCGTGTCGTATAAATTGAGTGTGCAGGGGCCATATCTCTTATCTTGGGGGTATAATGATTTATTAGAAGTCATGGAATGTGCGAGACGGTAAGTGCTGACCGTGTTATTTTTTTCTATCCTAGATGAAAGGGGCCTGAATAGAAGTCGCATTATTTTAAAGGATCTGTTATAGAAATGTTGAATATCGTTTATCGAATAATGATGGTCCTGCTTCAGTCTGAAAAATTTGCTGGTTTTGTGACTTTCTGCTTGCTCGGCAGTCGTTGAGAATTTATATCACCTTGACTTTCTTTTCTTTTTTTCTTTTTTTAATGAGAAAGTAGTCTTAAAAGCACAAGGTCACTTGGTCAAGTTTGTGCACTGCAGCGGAAGCAGTAAAGCCCTTTCTGTGGCATGTAATAAATTTTGAAATTATGGTCTGTATTATCTTAAAGGACCAGAACTGCTGAAAATAGAAATGTGAGAGATTTATATCAACATTATTCTGGTGATTCGTTGCATCTTTTAAAGGCCATTTTAGAATTAGCGTGTAGTCGTGTTGTGGAAACTGTGGCTTTGATATACAGTGATAATTTAGTTGTATGAAATGGAATGTGTTGCAGGCTGCCAAACCTAGCATCACAGCGAAAGATAAGGCTCGCGCCAAAGCAGCGTCTGGGTCGAAAAACATCTCCACCTTCTTCAAAAAGAAATAAAAGAAAAACATGGAATGAAATTGTAATAAAATATCATCTTATTTGTGTTCCTATGTTTGAAATTGTGTCGTTAATATGGGGACAGCTTCCCCATTAAAAAAATGCAAGATGGATAAATGAAGAAACAGAAAATATGTTTTAATTTGTTGATCCAGTTGAACAACGTTCTTATGTGCAAATTATGTTCTGTTCTGCCAGACAGGTGACAGTCAGGGACAAGCACAACAGGTGAGGAGAAGAGAGAAGAAGAAGAAGAAATCCATCTGAAAAAATACTATTAACATATAAAAAATTTACCTGCAAGCAATATTGTAATAAAATTGTTAAATGTTTTCCTAGCAGTCCAGATCAGAACAGAAGTTTACCAGTATATATATATATATATATATATATATATGTGTGCTTTATTACTCGAGAGAAATGTTTTTCAGTAATAAATAGAAGGGAAATCGCTCAAAAAGCACCATGAGGGATTGATCACAAGTTCTTGTTGAGGAGGGATTTTTATTGTTGTTCTTGTGTGTGCTAGGCATCCCCTACCTGCTCGACCAGCATAGTACAATATTTGTAGTCTTCGTTGTCATGGTTACGACTGGCATCTATATTTTGTTTTGTTTTATTAATCTGTAACGCTGTGACTTGCATACAGTTTGCCAGTTTCATGTTGGTTTCTTGCAGTATTTCTATAGTGACTCAGTTGTTAACTTTAATGTCACCTTTTTTTTTTTTAAAAAAAAAAAAAACTATTTTGCCACTTTATTATTTACATTGAGTGACGTGCAAATTTTATTTTGAAATGTATTGAATATGACTGTTATTTAGAAGAGCTGTACTTAATTTTTTTAGTGCTGTTAATGAGATTACATGTGCATACTTTTGTGATATGAAATTTTCATAGTGTACTTACTCAAATCTAAAGAAAAATCATACTTCTTGGATTTTAAATACTGTCGTTTTATTGCTTTATATATCATGATGAAGATTACTATTGTACGTAAATTGTAATGCATAAAATGTGGTAAGGTAGCGTCTGTTTGCTGATGCGCAGCTGTATTATATTTTTTTTATTTCTTTATTTTATCTCGGCGAACCGAGATGATCCCCCGCTTAATTACAGGTAAAACCCAGTCGTGAGAGGATCAAACCACGTGCTCCACTTAGATGTGAACCATTTTGTTTTGATTGACTCGCCATTATCATCGTCTAAAAACTTGTAAATATGTTCTTTCACTTGTTTCTTTAAAAACAGCTTTTCATCATTTTATTTTTCAAGGTAAGTTAAGAAAGCTCTTCTTATGCGGATTGAAGTTATTACTAACGTTGCTTTTTTAATTCGTACATGAAGAATATTATTACAACTTTAAATATACTAATAATTTAGGCTCCTCTTTGATGTGCCTTTCTTTTCAGATGGCTTAAAAGGAATGACGACTGGCATCGCTATGGAAATTCCAGGTGTTCGAAATAAAACCGCGTGTAATTATTCGTAGAATGCCACTTGGCATTTTGAGTGTGTCAATGGGAAATCTGACCAGTCATTTAAAAATGAAGCATTCATCTGTGCCCAGAATTAGATGGTCTTCGCATTCCGTTAAGAACTTCTTGCGGTCTAGCATAAGCTCAGTAGAAGAAGACTCATTTAGAGAAAGTTCTCAAACTTCAGCCATTGGCTGAGACTTTCTACGCTTTTTGCGCTATCTCTCTTGGACACAAATAGCAATTGGCTGTCATCAGTGGAAACAGTGATGCCACCATTGGGAACACAACAGAGTTCAATGCATAAGTGTACATGTGAGCGTCCAGTTAATTAGCATGTAAAAATGATTAAGGAATTTCAATCGCTGCTCATTTTATGGACCAATATTTTATGATGTCTGATTTACTTTGGTGCATTAAGCACGATGCTCAGATCACAGAAATTACCTTCAGTCGTAGCAAATGGCATATCATTCAGCACGGTTTTCACGTTATTTTGCAAGTTTTTCGTGAAACTGCTAACAAAGTTGGCACAGAGAAATCTTTATATTTTAAGAATTGTCAACTTTTTTTGTTCTTCAATGGAGGAGTCATCCAAACACATGGGAACTGTGCTTGAAAATTTGAGAATCTGAATAAAGAAGCATTAAAAGATTTTGAGTGCACAGAAACAGTTGTATTAGTTTCTTTACCCCTGCTTTAAAAGGACAGATTTCGCATACGGAGCTAAGTGCAAATTTGTATCTGAAAATTTTACGTCAGTCTCCTCTTCACTGTGAGGAATTTTATTCACAAACCAGGCAGCTGGCTAGTGACTAATCCTCATGTTGCCGGTGTTACAGAGCTCGAGAAATATATTTGAGAAACAAACCAGGCAGCTGGCTAGTGCCTAATCCTCATGTTGCTGGTCTTACAGAGCTCGAGAAATATATTTGAGAACAGTATGTGCTCAGAAATTCTGCGTCGCTGGGATGGTGAAGGAATCTACAAGAACTGTATCCAAGACTAGTGTAACCGTCGAAAGAAGTGATTGTACATCACTGCAACATTTATTCCTTGCAAACAGGTTTTTGGAAGGCAGGACAAATTTTTGACACTTGGAGTACATCATCTGATTTGTCCTCTGGCAATATAGGTAGCATATGACTCCTGTTTTAAACTTGTTTTATTCTAAATGACTATTTAAATAATTTATTTACAGCAATTGAATTCTATTTTTTTTTTATTATTTAAATATATATGATATATAGTGATTAAATATTTGTCTTTTCAATTTATTGTAACATAAATATGTATGTAAAAAAACTAATGTTCTTCATTCTCCAGTGTTTAACATTCAGTATTATTTTTTTCCTTGGTAATGGCTGTGGTGGAGAAATTGAGTTCTAGACGAAAGTGATAGGTTTTCATGGCCTGAGTTTTATGTATGACGTGTGCTTCTGGGTGTGAGCCACGTCAAATGTTGAGTAATTAACCGTTTCAACAAACATTCACAGCCATGATGGCACCTGCAGTGTTGGCCTCAACATTCGAAGTTGTATATTGGTTAGTTTTTGTTTGTCCCAGAAGTTCGTCGTTCACGATGATTATAATAGGAGCTCCTGAAGACGGGTTTTCTGGTGCACGAGTTAATCCGGATCGAACTGATAGAGGGTTTTAATGTTCTAAAAAAGGCTTAGTATTTGTTTTCTTAACCTGACCGAGAAACAATGGGTCACTTAGACCCTGTCGCAAACGATCAGGTCATGAAAGCAATTTCTACATCACAGTTGGTGGTATTGTTCTTACGAGGGATTTTATCGCGAGACGCGCATGTGCAGTAAGGGACGTGCGCAAATCAAATCCAGTTTGTGTTCAACAGCACGTAGAAGCAGACGCATCCTGGAGAAAATAGCATTAAGTCAATTGCGGCAGCGAAGGAATTCTTGCAGTTCTGTCAAGAATGAACAAGTAAAGTATCCTCTTGTGTAAATATTATAGTTTGCCAGTCACCAATTTTCAAATTCACTTCTACCAACTTCCACAGCTAATCGAAGTTGGTTATAAGTTGCAGACATCTTGTATATGCATTTAGAACTGTTTTTAATGTCCTATTAGCGAATATTTTTGTTTTTATCTAATGCTGGCTTTGCGATCATAATATAAAATGTGCGTTTTAGCAATTAAGTAGGGTTTGTTTCAGCCGTGGGTTACATCTTCGTCACTAGTCCCTACAAGGGCAATACTTCCGATGTTCTGACAATAATTCGGACGATTAGAATGTATCTAATCGTAAATACACGTTATATTTAACACATGAGTCCTTAATGTTCGCGATTTCGTAGTGGTATTTGTAAGTTCCAATACTCCGCTAATGTGTGATAAAATTATGAGTAGGCTTTCTTTCAATCTTCTTTCCCTGTTACAATGATTGAATTTCGATAAATGCTCACACACTACTAGTACTATTGAGGCCGGTACATTCTCATTGTCTGCGTGTCCCCATTAGAATTCTTACCATTGCTAACCGCATCCTCCGTAATCCATTAACCTAATTGCTATTATTCTCGATGTTTGTTATACGCCGCCCACAAACATTGGCCATGCGTTTATTGACAAACGCGATAATGATGTTTATCCGCTGTTAGCTTTTGATGGCTTATATGGCGAAGCCCGAATTTTGCTTAGAGCTCAGATGAACACGTCAGAGATTTGATCCAGCACTCAAACTAAAAGACGGTAGCCTTCAAAACAAACAGTACGATTAAAAAAACTTTTAAAATCCAAATAGCAGGGGAATATTTGGATTAAATTGGTCGGAATGTAGCGGGCAGAAATTTTTAAATTAGGAAAATCGCAAGATGTTTACAAAGTTGGCACAAAGAACGTACAAGAATTGCATCCAAAAACAGGGAAGGATGAAATTATGCTCTGCGTCTTTTAATAGACCACCACAGATAAGGAACAGCAGAGAGATTCGTCAAAAATGTATCGAGGAAGGATTGAATTTTACATAATAAATCCTAGGTTACAACAACAACAACCTGATTTTACGAATAGTTACATAAGAAATCTTAGGTTACAACAACAACAACAACCTGATTTTACGAATTGCAGAACGATCTAATGAAGGTATTTAGAATTTAATGACGCATAAAAGGATGACTGATATTTTGTGGAGGTGGTGGAAAGATGGTCAGTATTTTGGGTTTTTAAGTATTTTTATGAACCCAGCAGTTTTTGAGGATTCTCGGAGGAACACAGCACTTCCATCTTCGCGTCGCCCTTTGCATTCGGTTCAGAATTGTGATATTTGAGGCCGATGTTTGTCTTCTAGTCTGCAACGAAGTGTGGACTCATAAATAGATACCAACCTTTCGGAGAGACTCCCTGCATCCATCTTCAGGGCTGAAGTTGTACATTGTTCCATGTACACAAAAATCAGTCGATGGTAGAACAGCGCTGCAGTATTCTTTTTTGTCAGTGTCACTGTCACAACAAAAAGGGGGTCCTTTTTGTGGTTTTTAATTTTAAAAACTTTTTTTTTGTGTTCCAAAGGTTTTTTTTTAAAGTTGAACCACGTCCTTGTAGCCACTTAATCTGTTCTTCTTCACACGTTGGTTAAATATTCCCACTTTACGTGTTGGTAAAATTACACGAACGTTAGATCAATAATAAACCCGTAATTCCTGCATCAGACACAAGCAGATCGAGGGGGTGGGAGTCTCCTAAGTAGAAACATGACCACAAGATTTTCTTCGCCTACATTCAGAGGCGTTTGACGCCAAAAGGTACGTTCATTTGAAACTTATAATCTCTCTTAAATGCTCATTTCTCCTTCCCACTACGTGAGACAAATTTATAACATAATCGCAGCGGAAAATCATTTTAAAATGTGTAAAAACCTTAAATATCTGGAAATAGTGATTAAATTCACTCAGAAATGAAGGGAAAATCAAATTCGGAGAATACATCGAACCATGGAGTTCAGAATCTGTCCCCACTCCTGCAGTCCTAAAGATGGAAATATTCAAAATTGTACTTGGCATCTGCTGTAATATGGCTGGGGTTTTGGGTTGGAGATTTTGGATTGAATTCATCTGGCTCAGGAAAGAGACTGGTGGCGGGCTCTTGTGAGCATTTCTTGACCAGCTGAGCTGCCCGAGAAAGAGGACTCTGCCCCCATCAAGTGTTTTGTGTGTGCTCCTTTTGTAAACATCGCGTCGTACTACTTATGGCGAGAACTGTACCCCTACTGCGGAGAGGGTTGCGTGTCTGGTAGGAGTTTTGACGCCTTCTCCACCACAATAGACTCGATCGCTGGGTGTCTATTTCCACAGCTGATAGTTTCTCGTCGTTTATGGACAAGATCCAACTGGTTTTATGTGATTACAGCGTGCACGGTTAATAAACCGAATGAAAACAGTTCTTCAAGAATAGTCGAATTCATTTTCGAACCATCTGATAAGACGCGTCCCATTAATTCGAGTGGTAGGGTCCAATAGTCTAATTTTATTAACCTCGATTTGTTCCAGCACAAATCATGGGAACGGAAATGACATACAAATTGAATACAGGTTGGAATTTTCTCACAATTAATCGATAGTCGCCAAGGATTTTATGTACGTCACGCTCAGTGGCTATTCTCCATCGCGCCTTTAATCCACAGTGGTAACTATATGCACCAGTTACTGTAACGTTCATTAATATGCATTGTGCATCAATTGGTCTTTGTAACTGAAACCCGCTGTGTTTTACTGAAGGCGCGAACTGAATTTGTAAATTATCTGACTGAGCTTCGAGCCTCAAAAGGCTACTTCAATATTAATGAGTTAACATTTCGCTCAACGAAGCAGCGGACAGAACAGAGGACTGCGATAACCTTTGTATCATAATATTAACTTATTACAAGGTTCATAGACGCTTTCCTAAATGTTCTTCACACAGTCGACGAGCTTCCTTATATGAGCGATCAGTCCGACTTAAGGACTTTTCCTTCATAATTCTCCTTACGTCTTTAGTTCGAGCGTATCCATGGTTACGTAGAAGTACTTTCTGCTGACATGTAGCTTAATAATCAAATAAAATCCCGGATTTCTTGTACGGACGTTACAGAATCATTTGAAAGTGACCGTTGTGACGAGATATAACGCTCGTAGCATGCGATTATCGACTATTTGGCCCCGCCACCGAAGTGTTGCCGATGTTTTGAACGTAAATGCCTCGGAACATCCCCGTAGAACTCACGGCAGAGTGTATTTGACGCTTTCAACCTGAAACTTAATATTGTTATCTTTGCTGACGCAGAGAGGAGATGACAAGATGGCTGCCGGCCTCTCAGTGGACCAGCAGATCCGTGGCGGCTCAAGCAGGAAGTTCGAGGCCCTCGCGAAGGCCCTCACTGGCCTCGGAGCTGGTAAGTATGGCTGTAGTTTCAAGTGTCCTGCATTCTGGAGTATGCACGTTTTAAAATACGCGTCCTTTATGATTTTGCATGTTTTATCAGCATTTTATTTGTTGCTGTTTGTGGTTTATGTTTTTATTCAACATCGACTGTGTTGAAGGGCTTTTGGTTTCCGGGTTACTTCAGTATTTTCAGTCTTCACAAAGCTATAAGCAGAAAATAAACACAAACACATTTGAATCCATGATGGCAGCGAGGTTTAATTAATAAATATTTGTTTAAATCTTGTCAGTCTAATCACAATAAAATTCTTATTAAATATTAAAATATTACAATAATTAACATTTAAATATTTAAAATATATTATATGATGTTCTCTATCGAAATGTTCGATTTACATTAGATCATCACTTTTTTACACTACATGTTTCGGTTCTAAAAGAACCATCTTCAGGTGTATAAAATTATATAAACTTGAATATAATTTCTTAAATGCAACTTTTAGTCAGATGTTTATCAGATTTTAAATGATGTTTTCTTCCAGATTTTATTGTATTTTAATATCTTATTCGAAGTTGTTCTGTATATGTACGTCGTGCTTAACATGGTTTTGTGTGGAATTTTATTGTGATTAGACGGACAAGATTTAAACAATATATATTTATTATATCACAATATGACGCAACTTTATCATCTCATTAATTAATAAAGTTCAGTTGTTTGTTTGGAACTGCGTTACTTTTGTCGATGGGCTCTGTGCGTGTGAGTCTCCTTTCACGCGATTTTCCTCAGCGTCACTGGCCAGTGACTGTCAGCCACACATCAGGTAAAATTAGACCGCAATTTACCTCGAGTTTGTTTGTGTGTTAATTACCCTACAACTGATACAGACCGACACGTCCTGGTACTGAGCCCCCCGCCCCTCTCCACATGAGATGTAGGGATTTTCTATAAAGGCTGAAATGAAGTCAGGAAGAGGATTTCTCTTTCGACCTGTTTTAAGAACATGAATTGGTTAGGAAATTTCAGTTATCTGCCCATCTAAGATTTTCCTCAGCACCGCCATTTGAGAGTCGGTTCCCCCACTGATGATAATTGTCTTTTTCGCAGAGAGCACGGAAATGCGTGTCCCGGTTGATGGCTTAATAAAAGCGAAACAATGGACTTCAGTTTCCAGAACTTTTATTGCCTCCATCGCCATTAGGGGTCGTAGATTCTCGTGTGGGTGGGAAATGAAGGGCTGCGAGGTGAGATTGCAGACCGGAACAGAATTTATGGTCTAGCCAGGGCTGTGCAGTCGGCGTCGGTAAAAATGTACGGCGACCTCACGCTCAGGGAGCCACGTGGTGTGGGAATAATTCTTTGTAACTTTGACTCCGGACCTCAAGAATACAAACCATCCACAAATCAATCGATTTCTGCAATAACCATTAGACGTATATTTAAATATAGGTCACAAGTCTAAAAACTATTCTGATGATTCACGTGGTGGTGATGAAATCTTACCATTTTAGGTTAGGTTAGGTTATGTTAGGTTATGTTATGTTAGGTTATGTTAGGTTAGGTTAGGTTAGGTTAGGTTAGGTTAGGTTAGGTTTGCCTTTATTAATACATATTGAGCTTTTATGAAGGAGTCGGAGATTTCAGTACCGACTCCACAGCCCTGGGTCTAGCCATACAAAAGTTTTCATTTATCTCGATACCTCAGATCTGCCATTTTAGACACGCGAAAGTAATTCGCAATTCGGTGCACGCTAAGTTAACAGGAACTGTGTGGATAAACTCGGCATTTAGGAAGGGAAATGTTGCTCCCATGTTAAAGTTCTATTCAATGCCATGAAGTCGGTCTGCAGACAGATAAAACGAGGCATTCTTCTGTCTTAGTCACGTGAGTTTTAATTATGTAAACACGTGATTATCTGTAATGGATGGATTTTTGTGGGCGTTTCTCCTTACAAAGCACGACAAGACGAATGTGTAACGCGTTTTATGAACTTTGACCTCGCATTGTTTAAAATGGAAACCAGTAACCCCAGAAACAGAATATCCCTTCTAATACACAGGGACTTTTGTTTCGTAAGGTTGTCTGCTTTCCGAGATAAACAATCTTTACGTTGGTACTTCCAGAAGTATTTTGTACTTTTCTAATAATGTTGAAGGAAATTCCCTGTTTTTATGAAACTGTTCAGAAATTTCCGCTCCGTCATGAACTTTTTGTAATTCGTTTTCTGTAAGAATAAGAATTTGCCAACTGTCCCACGTTTTAAGACGCCCTCGAGTAAGATTATTTTTAAGCGTTATTGACGCGAAATAAAAAAAACCTCCATTGTCTAGTTTTCAATTTTGAACAAATTATTTGGATTTGAAAGTTGCTCTGTATTTTCTATTCAGTTTAATACCACATTAACTTCAGCGACTGGTAGAACGTCACATCCCACTTTTACAAACAAAGATTAAACGTTTTTGTTCGTTTGTGTAACGCGCTGAAGTTTTGCCGCATGTTTAGGAAGTTTGTTGAGAATATGAAAACACGAAACTTACAAGGATTTATTTCTCGGGAGAAATTGACAAGTGATTTAGAACGCCGAGGTTCTAGCGGCTTTCAGCTCAGACAGAAGGAAATTGCTTTTTTTGTGTTGAATGTTTTGAGTCGGCGTTAATCCCACTCACATTACATGCTAGCTCGAACAGTAGCCTATAGCGCAGGGGTAGCTGCGGCGCGAGAGATTCGGGTAGAAGTTTGAACATTACGAACTGCGAATGAGAGCGAAGTTTACGTCGGTATCAGTGACCTTATTTAAATGATGCCGAACAATGCGGGTTGCATACTGGATGAAAATAAAGGGCCGTAGAATTCTTTACTAGAATTCGGACGACTAACTCCGCGAAGCCGACAGGCGCCCAGCTGGTGAAGGACTCGAAGGTTCATCACCGTTTTCAAAATGATCGCTGCCACGAGACCCTACCCTGAACCAGAGGAACGCAGTCCACAAGCTTACAGTCTATTTTCCTAAGGTTTAGTTTTTATATCTTCCCATCTACATTCAGGTCTTCCGAGTGGCCTCTTTCCTTCAGGTTTTCCAATAAGAATTTGTTTGCATTTTCCACCTTCCCCATGCAAGGTACATAACTCAACCACGAATTTATTTTAAATTACATTAAGTTAACTCTTTAAATTCTTACTTTATGTAACCTTAATTAATTCACGGCAAAAGTTGTTCCTCGCATTTAATTAAGGACGGAGGCATTTTAAAATTCGAAATGTCGTCGCTGGATGGCAGCGTCACTCCGCGGTTCCCATTGGACAGGAGGCTGGCTCAACCGAGATCCGGCCTGTGCACTTTGGTTTCGAAAATGTCAACATGTAGCTTTAGAACGAGTTAAGTCGGCGGTAACGCGTCTAGGTATCATTCGTGTTCTTGAAGGAGGCTGTCTTCTGGAATGTAACGCCGACGTTTTAGAGGTTATCACTGCCTCCTTCACGCTATGACCTTGATGGCGTTACATTACATAAGACAGTCATCTTCATAATCTTCGACGTGAGAACCTGAAATCTCACTTTCGGTTAGCGCAGGACGCTTTCCCTGAACAAACAGTCGTGATGATGATGAATGAACGAACGTGTCTGTGATTCGGCGTGCTTCTTTGTAATCTCGTTGAAATTCGTTCTTATTTTTATTTCCCTTTCAGTCAGACGCACGCACGCACACACACGGACGTGTTTACACAATGAATGGGCCCTACTTTCAACACGTCAACTCGAAAATTTTGCAGTAATTAATTGTTCTGCTGCTCGCCATTGTGAGAGCCACAATGGACCGAGCCATCTTTTGTTGGGCCGATCCCACCCTCTCAAAGTGCCGGTCCGTGGCGCGGGCGAGATGAACTTTGATCGATTTCAGTAAGAGCCTTCTACCATTCTTCTTGAACTCTCTTTAAAATTCTCATCAGCTACACCCTGGGCCCCCTATCGTGCAGGCGCGACCTCGAGCTGCCCCGTGCTAAGTAGTCTCACCCGCCGATAACTACAGCATGTGTCGAAATATTAGTGTCGAGTTGGCACAGTTCACAGCTACAAGACACGCAGAATCATTACAAGTTAATATTTCTCGCGTATTTGAAGAGTGTCGTGTAAGATAACTGAGTACTCGAAACTGCTAACGCGCTCCGGTCGGTTGGTGGGCTCCAGAGCACCTCTGGAAGGACAACGCCGAGGAACCCGGTCCTCCAGTTCCCATTCTCTCTAGTGTAGTTCCTCTGTTGCGTAAATGAACATTTAAAATGGTTCTGCTAACGCAATGGTTAATTTAAGGAGGCTGTCGGCAGCTCGGATTACGTAACGCAGAATAATGAATTGGTAGGAAGAGAGACACGTTTCGGAGGAACATACTGTCTACATCTTCAGGGTTACATGTCTACTCGGCGTTACAACCCTGAAGTCCAACATCGACGCAGAACGATGCTTTGAATACGCGAGCCCGGTGTTAAACTTTGGTTCATCGCTTGCCAGCCGGGAAGTCCATTTTGGTTTTACTGTGATCCTGAATTGATTGCATCCAGTGAAGGTTCCTGTATTGCCGACCGTGGGGGTGGGGGTGGGGAAGGGGGTGTGATTTGCCGTGGCTACTGACACGGAGATTTGAGGCACTCGCATCAGTAGTCCGTCAGTCGCTCGGAGGGTCAGATAAAACACTTCGCGTATTGGTACTAGATGCGAGCAGATGGCGTGATTTTATACAGGGCGATGCCACTTTAAGGAACAACTTCTACGGATTAATTCGACAGTAATCGGCAAGTTCAGGCGGTGTGCTTCGACTCTTATCGGTCAGGGATGTCAATATTATTGTATGTGTTGGTTAGTGTTGAGATGAAATTGTGACTAATTTAGTACAGACTGGTTTAAAATTAAACCAACTGGTTATTTAACATTATATCCTGTATATGTGTTGGTGGTTTAGGTTATACATGATGAATTATTATTAGTAATAAACTTTATCAGCAATTTAAAGCCGGAAGCTGTTTTGAATAAATTTAAAGGTTCAGTTAATTTCTCAGCGAAAATGCTACGAGACTCAATGGCAACAAAATAGTCAATGCTGTTCAGGGAAAATAATCGCTGTTTTTTTTTGTAAGAATCATACAAAAACTATAAATATAAATGCTGGAATTACTGGTTGTTGTTTTAAATTGTTAATAATTTGAGAGACCAAAACAAAAATAAGAAAAATCTTAGTTAATGTCATTTGCAAAAATTTGACGGATGTACGAGGAATGTGAGGGGCCGATTCCGAGCAGGATAATTCACGTCTGTTGGAGGGGTTGTGTATTACAAGTGATGTAAACCCACCTGGGTGCTTAATTCGCCGTTTAATTCAGTCGCGTTCTTAAACGAAACTTACTTGCAATTATTTTAAAGCAAATTTGTGTAACTTGGTGCAGGCTACATTGTGAGTTCGTATCTTTCACGATCAATGGCAGTGATAATTATTATGAGTTGTCTTTTAAGGCTACTGAGAATTATACTTTATGACTTTGCAATTTGTGACTACAATACGACGATATAATAAATAATTTAAGTACTGAGATTCGAATCTTATCTGCCAGAACGGAAAAGAATACACATTTGTTGAGGTTTTTGTATCGCGTAACGAACATTATGCAGTTTTTCTGTATTCTTTTGTTAAATTCAACATTAGTGACTGTTTCGTAATTATTCTTCACCAAAATTTCGAATAGACGTTTAAAAACAGTTGCGAAATCGATTTTATCAACAGAATAATACATTAATATTCCGTGTTTATAACAAATATAATATGCGATACTAGAGAAAATTTGAATAAACAAAGTCAGGCGCGACATGTGATTGGTGTTTGTTTATTCGGTATAAATATGAGCGCTGAATCGGGAGAACCCAGCAAGGGGCCCCAGAACTCGGAGAAACAGAAGGAAGAGTCTGCGTCTGCAACAACTTCACATCGAACCAAGAAGGACAAAGGTAGAAAGACTCACCCCTTGAAGGGTTTGTTGGCCACTATCAGTTTTAATTTCCAAGGAGAATTATTTTTTCAGTCAAATCACAATAAAATATTATTATTAAATGTTAATGAGTTTATATGGATCATACACCTGAAGATGGTTCATTTAGAACCGAAACATGTAGTGTAAAAGATGATGCTCTAATGTAAATCGAAATATTCGATAGAGAGCATCACTTTAATATATTTTAAATATTTAAATGTTAATTGTAATAATATTTTAACATTTAATAATAATATTTTATTGTGATTTGACTGATAGAATTGAGCAAGTATATATTCAACACAATAATGACGCAACATTATCATCTCAAGATCATCATTATCATCGTCTTTTTCTCCAGTCTTTATTAATTGTTTTGATTTGAAGGCTTTCATTTATAATTGAAGAATTTGGTGTCAGAAGGGGATGAGTTCTGTTTGTTGCGTGCAGGCCTGTGTGAATTGTTACAGATCGTATAATCTACCCACGGAAATCTCGAGTCGTGTCACAGCGGATGTCTGTAGCAGGAGGAATCCCCATCACTGAAGAACTGGCTGTTGTAAGCAAACACACTACAAAGTTTCTTGTAACTCCTGGACATTTCTATATGTAACACAGACCATAGCTATTTTAATTCCAGAATGTTTCTGTTTACTTGATATATATATATATGTGTGTGTGGTTTTTCTATGCTTGGTATGAAAGCCTCAAGTCACACATAATTTGTCTCGACTTGAGCCCACCAAAGGAAAAATAAGGGAGTTCCCCCTTTTAGTGTTATTTTTGTACTTTTTAATTCCAGAAAGTTTCTGTTTACTTGAGGAAAAATAAGGGTGTTCCCCCTTTTAGTGTTATTTTTGTACAGATTTATGGGTAAATTTCTAATCAGTGTTTTGACTTCAAGTCTGTGTGGTTTCGAGGTATTTCCATTTCCATTTCATATGAAATTCCTCAATTTATTACGTGTGCATATTCCTTTGTGGAAAGAATTAGTTTTGAGAAATTTTGAGAAATTGTTTTTAGCTTGCATGTTGGTACCCTTATTAAAGCAACATTTTTGTGCATAAATCCTGTAATAATTTACAGATTTCTTAGTTTTTTAGCTTGCATGTTGCTACCCGTATTAAAGCAACATTTTTATGCATAACTCCTGTAATAATTTACAGATTTCTTAGTTGCATAAACCTTCAAAGTGATCAGATGCTACTTTTTACAAACTTACATGTCTCAAAAACTCACGCGTTGAGTAAGTGACCAAATATGGGGTTGCCAAATGACATATTTGTCACCCGAGTGCTGTGCTGACTGTGCGCAGGAGCTGCGGCAGGTTGTGTTTGGATGCTCCGTTTCTGCTCCCAAACATGAGTGGCTGCGCACAGGACTGGTGTTCCGGGATTCGGATCAGGAACTGAGTTATGGCCTCAAGTCATCATGCAACACCACCCGTGGGCTGCTGTCTGTGGTGCAGGCCCATATCATCAAACACCTCTTGTTTGAGAAAAGAGGCAAGGACCAGCAGCCTCGACCAGACACGTGAGTTCTTTAGAAACTGCTTTCTCATAAGCAAATGTCTGTCCATCTGCTTTTAGTTCTATAAGTTGTTGTCATACATCTTTCCTGTTGAAAGATTAAACAATGCCAGTTAACATTTTTCTTTGGAGAAGAAGTCATTTTGTGATGTCTGCTATATACTGACTATTGTTTTATGAATGTTCACTCAATAAATTTTAACATTAGTATGTTTGAAAAATTAATACACATTCTTTGATATGTATAATGAATTTTTGGCACATCATAACCAAGTTGTTTTGTGTGTTTGTTGCCAACCTTCCCACTAATACAAAATATTGTGATGTAATATATCGTAACCAGGCTGTTGAAACCATCACGCACGAGGCAGATAGAAGCACTGTGGACTGCCATTGCTGAAATACTGTGGATGATTGGCGAGAAAAGCAAGTGTTCTGTGGCATTGCCTCAGGACCTGGTCCATGTTCCACAGAGTCACCAGTACCTACAGGATGGCGTCACAGAGAAGGCAAGAACGTGACATTCTTCACACTCGCACTTCATGTGTCTTCTCAGTACTTTCTGGAACTTTAATGTTTTAATAACCTTTCAAGCTTAAAAAGTACATTTGAGCTGTGGTGAATAGTTTGTTCGTTTGTTTCTCACTGTAGCAACTTTTATTGTAATTTCAGTGCACTTTTCTACTCTTAACTTCAGAGATGTAAATGTTTGAGACCAGGTGTCAATTGTAACTTATACTGTCAAGTCAAATTAATATAATTTCATGTATTTGTTCCAGCTGAACATATTTGAATTCACAGACCTAGAGGATCTTCAGATCTTCATTAAGAGATACATTTACCTTGTAAGTCCTAAACTGCAATAATTGTATTTTCAAACTTTCTAGTAAAACAGAAAGCTGTTCCAAAACTGATTTTAGAATGGTCGGTACTTGGAAGAAAAGGGATAAATTATTGGAAAAAGCATATACTGTTAGGTTATCGAACTCTTGTGTGAGTTGTGACACTCTTGTATACGTCGTTTGCAGTTTGAGGATGATCCTGGACCGGGAACTCTACTCGTCCTATACGGCGCCGTCCTGACACGTGGAACTGACAAGTGAGTTGTGCTCAGTATCTGTTGCTGTTAGTGGTAAAAAAAATTTTACCATGGTGCACTGTACCACATTTATGAATTGTGTTTGTAATCCATTATCTTTGAATTGCAGCTTGGTAGTCACGTTAGTTCCCATAGCAACAGGTCTGCACACATTCCTCTCGAACGCTTTCAGCTTCTGCATTCAAAACACACAAGTTATAAACATTATTATTCAACGCTTTCAGCTTCTGCATTCAGCACACACAAGTTATAAACATTATTATTCATGAATTTCAATTTTTTTATTATGTGTAGTGGCAATCCAGGTTGATCACATGTGACAAGAGGGTTACATTTAGAATTGCGTACTGTTTCAGACATTCTTACCCTTAAATGTTTGGGATGATGTAAAAAAGGGACCTCTTTCTGACAAGAATAATTTAGAACTATGTTATGTGATGAAAGGAGCAGCATTTGTATTAATACTGCAATTAAATTGTGAATTTATGTATCGCTATTTAGACTCTGTTAACCCTTTGCAATTCCCATCATGGAAGAATAAAGAAAGACTAAACTGTCCCTGCTGCATTTTATAATATGCAGCATATAAAGGATATTTAAGTTAACTGGCCCAATAGCATCTGGATATAGATACTTAAATGTACCTCTGTCCACCCCTACCCCATCCCACAAATAAAATTCTAGATGATCTAAGGTGTACAAAAATGAAATTTCAGCAATGAAGGTTAAGTAATAAATGTCTGTCCCAAGTGATCAACAAACAAATTACAGTTCATGTTATTCATCTACCTTTCTGATTAAAGTCTAATTGATTCAGGGTGAAGACAGACATGGATAATGACAGGGCCTTTCTGGTAGCAGGAGTTGAAGAGGGTTCACACTGTATTGTAACCCTTTTGCTAACTGGACATGCAACTCCATATCTGCACAACGGGGTAGTGTATGTCGGGGATGAAGACCATTACGTAAGTGATCAAACTGCTCTGATTATGTAATGTTGAGTGGGAAGTGCCATTGCAATTATAATTATGAGTGTTGTCATCTATGATTGTTGATGTCAGTGAGATTTCAAGTTCTCATGGCAACTAATATGAAGACGACTGTCTTCTTGGATTTCGCACCATATGGTCTGGAAGAAATGCACCTCCAAAACATTGGTCAATTTATACCAGACTGCAACATCTCAGAAGACAGGTATCTTCAATGTAAAATTAGTTTTACGGTGTAACAGTTCCAACTGTTATTATACCAGGCCATGCCACAATTCGGCATACTGAATCGGAGCGAGGTGGGGTTTCTGGTGTGGGATGAATGTACTGAAGGACAAGTGGAGGGGTCCAGGCAGCCAGGATCCAGACTGAAGACACCATCATTGCCAGTATGGGTGTCCTCATGTGCTGGAAACTATGGCGTGCTGTTCAACACAAACCGGGAATTGCTACGTAATTACCACGCAGAGCGCAGGTGACTAATGATTCTCCACAGATGCTTTATCGTTTGCTCGATCCATGAGTTTAAGCACGAAAATATTTAAGGTAGATAAATAAGGAGGTTGGTCCAGGAATAGACATAATCACTTCCAGTGCACTGTCATTTGAAAATAATGGAAGTTCATAAAGAGTTTCAGTTCTGTTGCTTAGGAATGAAGATACCTTATCAGTTCATGCTTATTTGTGCTCAGGTTTGATCTTCACTATTACACATGTGGAGGTGGTCACTGTCTGCTTGGTATAGACACTCGCTGCAATGAAGATGAGATGTGTGGCAGTGCTGCAGGTGGCAAGGGGCTGGGGCGAGAGGACTTCAGTACAGCTCCTCCACTTGAGAAACTCATACACACGAAGTGAGTGGCTTTCGTGTCGACTTCAATGAATGTATTTAATCCTTTGACATTTTTGCAGCATTTATTCGTAAGATATTGAAACTTAACACAGTGCATTTGACATGTCGTAAGAGTAATGTCATGAAATATATTCTATGACATGTCATGTCTGATTGCAGGTGGCAAGATGCTCATGTACACTGGACAGGCCCAGCCCCAGTCGCATGATTTATGCCACAGATGTTACTTCAGTGCAACTCTCTGACCTTTCACTAATCCCAGCTGTGATGTTCTGTTCTGACCTTACAAAACGGAACTATAAACAATAGCCCATTAATTGTGTATGCATTGCGTCACTTTCATCTGTATAGAGACGCATAATCTCAGTTCTCTTATTTCAGAGTCAGTACTAGACAAGACTAGTATATATTTTGTTTGCTACAGAGAAATAAATATAAAGCAGGTGAGTGGCAAAGAGGAAGTAGTAATGACCCTCATAATGAGGACACGTGACAGCATTAATTTTGAACTGTACACTTATTCCCTGTCAGTTCATTTCTACTCTAAAGTTAGAAAAATGCGCCAGTTTTCCAGTGTGCGCGTGAGGAAACTGAACAGATTCTCAAAATATTAATACTGGCATCCATTATTAAAACTGAGTAATTCAGGCTTACTTTCCCTTCGGCCCATCCTCGATATCTTGGCATACCACTTTATGCAAAACTTCAAATTTTGTCAATTAAAAATATTTGACAGGTTTTTATCAAATCTAATATTGGGACTTCCTGAATCAAAGAGAAAGTTTTGAATAATATTGGCCAGTTAGGGCTGCCATTTTACTTCAATACCAAAACTAATTTTTAAGTACATTTAATTAAATATAGAACTCTCAAAGAGACGGTAAAAGATCAGTTCGTAATCTCCGTTGCAAAACCTTGCCATTTGTATTGTGTAAGTCACATTTTCTTCACTGTACAAAGTGCATGGTAAGAAATAATGAATTTCACAATTTTGAAAGATGTGCTGCAGTGATATAAAAGGAGAGTGACTGTTCCTATACTCAGTAATTCCAAAATAGAGTGTTTTCTCTCTAGAAGTTTTGCTTTGAAACCTAAATTTTGACAAATTTCTGTTGGGTTAAAGTGCAGACTTATGATAATTTAGATGTGAATGTGTGATGTGGTTGATAAACTGCTACTTAACAAGTAACTCCTCCATTGTGGCTGGGCAGCCTGGGTTCAAATCTCAGCTGGGACTCTGGCTATCCTGACAGGTTTTTCATGATTTTCCACAGTTACCCCATGCAAATAACAGGATAGCAGTACTTTGGACCATGTTTCCTTCCACATCTTTCTAATTCATTATTCATTACTCATCCTGTCATTAAATATTGTAGTCATTAGCTGTTGACGTCACAGAATTAACCATAAAATAAAAGACAATCCTCAATGAGAAAGTCTACAGTGCAGATGAAGTCACCCTCTTGCTTTCGTATCTGTGTCCCTGATAGAAAATGAAGAGCACAGATGGCTTACGAAGAGGATCTCGGAAGGAAGACGTAGCAGTGGCCTTTGAAGAATTTAAATCCCAGAGTAATTTCGATGCACTGCTGAGGCTTGCAGCTTGTTGTCTGTGTTGAAATTTTCCATTTGAAGTTGGTTGCCCAGTTATAGGAATCTATCGTATTCTTTTTTTACAATTATGTACTCAGGACATAACAGTAAGACAGTTATTCCTTATGGTCACCTTCCCATTAAAGCCGTGGTTCCTAACTTGTAGACTGCAAAATCTTCTGAGGTATGTGAATTGTTTCAGGAAGTGAAATGGGGAATTTATCGTGTGCCAATATTATTTTAGGCCAATTATGGTTATCAATGTTCTGTTTCTGTTAGAAAGCCAACTTTTGCAGGTGTTCATCACGTTCAAGTGACAAAGTTTCAGATCCACTGCCCTATAAATATACGAACACACGGCCAGTGCCGTCACACTACATTATCAGAGGTCAGAGTCTGCTAATAACATTTCGATACCCAGGTTATCACACTGTCATTCATAATGTAACGAAGTGCCATTTACAAGTTGCATTATTCAAGAATATTAAAGAATACAAACTGCACAAACTAACAGATACAATAATTGCACAAGATCTGTGGTTATGGTTTGATGTGTAAATGGTTTATAAAAACATGCTAAATAGAAGACAGAAGTCCAAGTACCTTCAATGTGACTACATATCATGCTTGTAATGGTTGTGATGTAAGCTGAACAACTGTTGTTGTTGTACTGTTTGTTAATTCATTTATAGAAACTATATGTAATGTAAGAAACTGATTGTCATACATGGATGTTTAAAGAAAAATTCTTTATTTTGGTCTATTAAAAATCTCCAGTTCATACACGTACAAATCCTTATAAAATAGTAAGGTAAAAGATATGTTTTTATAAAGGCAATAATATAAAAATATATATAAAAATAAGTGCTTTAAAGCTTAATTTTAACTATAGAAATAATCCCAAGTAACCTGATATAAAAGTAATGGAGGAAAATTAATAAAACCAATTCAATTTTAACTAGAAACTTTGACAAGACTATGCAGAAAATATTTTAATTGTTTTTGTAATGCCTGTTTCATAAATAATTTGAATTCTGTTGTCTTTTCATCATGTTTTACAGATCTTATAATAAGATTAAGACAGAATACAAGGCCACTGTCAAACATACTCTACCCACCCACTATTTGGAACACATTAAGTGAGGAAATCCATCACTGAGGAAATTTGGTTTGAACCATGGATATAAATGCAAACTGTGAAAAAACTTCAGACTTACATTTGTGTACTGTAAATGTATATCAAATGCTGATTTCACCATACAAAACAAGTCAAACAGGTATTTAACATAAAAATTTGTTAATTACCAGCAGGACATTGTCGACACAGCTACCGACTGTCCAGTTTATATATTTCAGTTAATTTATGTGACAGTAATGGCTATTGAGAAGCAGAGCATGGAAATTTCTGGACACAAAAAATTGTTTCACAATGCCCAACTTATTTTTCAGATATTAATGCTTGCAATATTTTTGCCATTCATTCACATTTAGAAACTATTTAAATGTCCTTTCTTTACAGGGGGGATAAAGAAATAAAAATTTGAAGACAGTTTACTCTTGATTTATTAGGTATTGAGAGATGATATGAACTTTATTAAGTCTTCCGACAAGAGAAACAGCTTGGGCGGCTGAGGTTTAATGCAAAAAAGTAGAAAACCAGAATACAAAATGCCGATTAGCAGCCAAATAGCTCGAGAAATGCTATGGGACTGTAGAGAACTGAATTTGTGCCAACCACAATCAAGGCAGTTATGTTTTGTATGCTCAGATTATAAACAGATATAACATATGGCATATATTGAAAGAGTTATACGACAGAAAATATCCTGCTCATAATGCCAGGCAAGGATTAGTGTCAGCTGTTTCCACGAAAATCTTGTGGTTCTCTTTCGGAAGTTTGAGCAACTTTCCCGCGTCACACAGCATTCGGAACCTCCCCACGATCCTTGCCTTCTTCTCTAAGCTTAACCATAACAGCATTCTTTGATACATTCTCTCCAACACTGCAGTTTATCTTCTCTATCTGGCCATCACGCGGTGCATGGATTACATACTGCAACATACAGCAGTCGTGGGTTAGCTCTGATGGTGATATTAGAGGGGTGCATGGTAGAAGAAAGTGGAAAATTTCAAGAGAATTCCTCTCAGGGTGGCTTCTGTCACAAGTCTGTACGTACTGGCCAAGTATCAAGCCCGGCTCTACTTACACATTTCTGTTGAGGTGTGAGGAGTAGATAATGTTTCTTATAGCCTCTGCTACTCAAAATGACTGGTTTTGGCAATCATTACAACCACGGTGCAGGATGTGTCTATACTTACTTACAAAAACATGGAGTCACTGTTGTACAATCATTAAATCTTTAGTAGAGAAACACTGAGTCATGACATACAGCCATCGTATCTGACACAGAGGAAATTCCAGTGTTAGTTTAAGTAAGGTTACTTTTAACAAGTTTGTGTTTTTAATGGGTTCTTAAATGAGTAAAAAACTGCATGTAACCGTAACAGCTAATTCAGCGTTAAACCAATCATTCTGACATTTACAGTGAATCCCTTTCTAGTGATTTCATAGTAATATGAATTATGAGCACTATCAAAGTAATCATATAATATTTTCCTGCAAGATGATAATTTCTCTTATTGCTTTCAGTTATGGCCTGCTTATTTGGCAAGCTCTAAGGTGGAAGCATCCATCCAGCAAGATCCTGTTCATTCCCAGTGGCATAACGAAAATGGAGGTAGAGAAAGAGCGCATGGCTTGATGTGGACTCCGAGCTACAGCGGACCTTTCATTTTCCACTGTCACAAAGTCTGAACATGACAGAGGTAAGACAAGGTACACAATGAACACAGGAAGCTTCACAGTAATGATTTTAATGATACCTGATTTTGTGTAGATGATGATGAATTAACAACAGAGGCTACTAGCATATCTGTCATATTAATTTTTTTATGTGTTCGTGATAAAAGTTCCATAGCAAAATCAGTGAGTTCCTCCTTCAGGATTGACATTACACCAGTAAGACTTAAGACTTAATTTGAAAAACATGAAGAAGTAGACATACCTCCATCTTCATAGCAGTTATAATGAACAGAGGGTCTCCAGCCTTGACGACATCGCCAAGTTTAACATATACTTTCTCCACCACTCCTGGCATTGGTGCGACTGCTACATCTCCCCCAGTAGCACCAGCATCATCTATCTCTGCAGATTTGAACTTGGGTACAGGCAAAGAAAACTGGTAGCTACCATCCTACAGCATAAACAAATCAGGAATAGAAAATTCAGGGTTTCAATGACCAGTTATAAAAGTGGTAAATACTCTGTGTGAACAAACACCACTATTTTATTCATATCAGACTATATCATTTCTGCTGTTGCAGATGTTTACATGAAAATGTGTAATTTGTTACAATTCCAGAATTTGAGTACACTCCAGTAAGAGATATAAAAACTTTTTTTTCTTTCTATTTTTTATATTAAAAAAGGATTTTGTCCACTGCTGACTGTAAATATATTTGAAGAATATTTGTCACAGATGTGATTCTGCTTTGACAGTTGTCAAAATACCAATTTCTCTGTTCATCATGATGAAATAATTTTATTTGTACAAATTTAGGAACTTGTTGTCTGTGGGATGGCTGCCTGAAAAATATGGTGGTGACACCTGGGTGTACCAAGAACAATAAGATTCAAAAATAAAAACCAAACTTGTGTAGTTGCCCACATTGGAAGCATGCGTTTCAAAAAATAAAATTCATTTGGGTGCTGTATCTCGCTTTAGTGAAGTGTGTTATGTGACTGAGCAGCAAATTTACCTTTACAGGTAATCAAAAACTATTTTGAACCAAAGTTTTTGAGTCAAATAAGAGCTGTTTTAGATGTACAATTCTTTTTAATGTCATTTCATGACTGAGACATTTTTTATGGAGTGTGAGAACATGTGTGATTGCATACTGAAAGGATGAATGGTGATATCAGGAAAACTAAACAGACTTCATGCTATCAGTCTACAAGGAAATCATATCCCATCTACAGACAAGGGACTGGCTTTGCACTATTACCCTTGTGAACAGATGGACATCAGTGGGGGTGATGACCACGTGGGATTTGACGACCTTCTTATCCATATGACAGATGAGTTCCAGTCTGTTATTAGACATTGACAGAGTCCCTGACACGTCGAGTTGCTCCTCTGCGCCACTGACCCTCACTAAGAAGCCTTCTCGTTTCTTATAGGTCACCTGTGCTGTAACAACTGTCACATATTATATATCAGATGTGGTTAAATGTGACAGCGACACAAAATATTAAAGGCAGTCGTAATGTACCTATAAGGGATGGTATAACACTTCTGCAGAAGTATCAGTGTGAATCATTTATAACTGTTTGGTGCATGCTCTAAACATTTGGATGTTATAACACTTCTGCAGAAGTTTCAGTGTGAATCATTTCTAACTGTTTGGTGCATGCTCTAAACATTATGAAAATACGTTCTGGGAAGAACAATTGATGTCTGCTTATTTAAATGCTTTACTATATAATCCTTAGGGAAGATGTTTTGCATCATTTGATTGCATACCTTCTTTTCCACATCTGAAACTGAAATCACGAACCAACAGGTGATTGAGTCGCATGCCAATTTCTGAAAAAAATGGACTGAAAGGATCTTGGGACGCTGAAGCAGCTTTCTGAGCCTCAAGTTGCTCATTCAGCACGACCACCAGGACTGCCTGGAAAGAGACAGTCTCTGAGAAACTGCTGTACAGGTTGGAGCTTGAATTTCAATGTGAATACATTTGGGAACTGCTTACTGGGCTGAAACCACAACAGTATGTCAGATCACACAATTCATCGCCCTGATGACGGAGGCAGCGAGTACCTCTGAAACATTGGTAAACACCTACCATACTACACAGCGCAACAACCCAGAAGACAGAAACCTTCAGATTTTATTTTGTGTGATAAAACATATGTAAAATGCAAGGAATGCTTAGAAATTGTTACCTGGATGACAATGTGATCAGGTGGAGACTTGTGTCCCAGCAGTTCTGAGCGATGATGCTCTATGAAGTTTGTGTGGACATTACCAGAGATGAACTCACTGTGCTTGCAGAGATCCAATAAGAAGTCCACATTTGTGTCCACACCCACAATCTTTACATAAAAAAATGTTATTAAACTGCTGTAAAATCATAATATAAGCACGTGTAGTTGGCCAGTCTTGCAGTTTGTCCCAAATATATTGGGTATGAGAGGAAGGAAAGAACACATGAGCTTAGGGGAACGAAGTTACAACTACAACAGAAAAATCACCAGATTTTTCATCAAAACTGTGAAGTTTTCCATTGAAAGTTTATACACAGATGTTCAGTTGAATTCTGTGAATGCTCATTAGGTATAATGTACCTGCTATCACTCACATTGTAGTCAGCAAGCTGGGTCCTCATCTTTATGAGGGCATCTGTTCGATCCTTGCCCCAGACAATTAACTTCGCAATCATGGGATCATAGTACACCGATACCTCATCACCTTGTCGAACGCCTGCAGATAACACGATCGAAATTAATGGAACAAATAATAAAACACAAAACAAACAAAGATTGATGAGCTATTACTGCTAAGGTAACATTGACGTACCTGTCTCCACACGGACATCTGCACTTGGTACTGGTGTAGCCAAATAATGCAGAGGTCCTGCAAGGGGCATAAAGTTGTTGCTAGGACTTTCGGCATATATGCGAGCCTCAAACGCATGGCCCCGGAGATAAATCTCCTCCTGTGTCAGGGGCAGCTTTTCTCCAGCAGCCACCTGTGAACCACAAGCTGTTTATTGATAGGTTAGGTTCTCGTAAATGTTGTTGAACATTAATCTGCATCACATCAAAACTGAGTTATTTTTGGTTCCCCATTACTATGAAAACGAGAGTTTGTATTTTCAAATCTCCTTTAATTTCTCAGTCATTATTATGCTACAAGTCAAAGTGTTTGTACGTATTTTCCTGCGTTATATGTTGTCTACAGGTTGCACAGGTCATTCTTGTTCATCTTGTAATATATTGTGACAAGGTACTACTCCTGTCATGCCAGATTCCTAATATAATGGAGGCAGAGAAAGAGTTTTAACTATTGTGTCAGAGTAAGGAAGAAAAAATTATATGATGCAAAATATTGTATTCTCTCATAAATTAACATACTCCAAACAATTACATGAGTCAAAATGGTATATTGGTAGGAAATAATACCAGATATTCCATCCATAATCTTGCAGTGTTGTCAACATATATATTATCTCTTGTCAGTTTTTTGATAAGCTTAATAAATTATGAAATATAAATTAAGAAGCCTGACCCTGAACTGCCATTCAACAAGATCAGTGTTGGTCACCATCTCTGTCACGGCGTGTTCTACTTGCAGGCGAGTGTTCATTTCCATGAAATGAAATGTGTGGGAGTGGCGATCCAGAATGAACTCCACAGTGCCTGCTCCTACGTAGCCCACCGCACAAGCTGCCTTCACTGCTGACTCTCCAAGTTCAGCCCGCAGAGATTCTGACAAATTAGGCTGCAGAAATATCAGCATGTTAAAAGGATAAAGCTTATCTAGGTGGTAATACTTTCACACACAGTAGTCAATTACCTCTCTAATATATTATAATATACTGTCATGAAAAATATGCATTTCTGACTGTATCGGGTTGTCACATATTAAAAAAATTCTAAATATAAAATAGTAATAATGGTGACAGGAAACTTTTGCCCTAGTATCAGATTTAAGTAGCGCATGTTACAGTTAACTATGCTGCATCTGGCACGTTTGTGAAAAACTCACAGCTGGAGCCTCCTCAATGATCTTCTGATGTCTGCGTTGCACACTGCAGTCACGTTCAAACAAGTGAACACAGTTACCATGATGATCTCCAAATATCTGCACCTCAACATGCCTTGGTTCTACCACAAATTTCTCTAGAAGCACTGCTTGGTCAGCAAATGACTTGAGTGCTTCATGCCTGGCCAACTCCAGCTGTGACTCAAACTCTGAGGCTGTGAATGCAACCCTCATGCCCTGAAACATCAACATACTTTCTCTTTTAAGACTAAATCTCTTTAACCCTTTAAACATGAATCAAATATGAACCAAAGTAAACTTTGGTTCAGAGTTTGCAATAATGCACAGCAAAGTATATAATATAAATTACCACAGAGATATCTTACTAAAGGTGCCCTCTTTCCATAAAATTTCAACACAAAAATTATGTAGATATATCTGTTGGTTCCCCTGCACATACTACATGCCCAGTCCATCAATATTAGAAGAATAGGCAAAGTAATATTATAACATAAATAAGGCATACCTTCCCTCCACCACCAAGAACAGCTTTGATCATTACTGGGAATCCAATGTTCTCAGCTTCCTGTTTTAGTTTAGCCATGGACTGGTCATCGCCATGGTAACCTTCAATGACAGGCACCCCTGCTGCTGACATTATAGATTTTGAAGCGCTGCATAACCCACAATACATAACACAGAATAATCACAAAGTCAAAATTCATGGATATTATAATGCAAGTTGGCACCTGAAGCCTTGTTCGGATGATTCTATCTTCATTTCCAGATTTCTTTGTGCAAACTTAACCCCTACCAAAGTTTACATTTTGAGCATGTGGAAAATACCAGGTTCGAAATCTGTATTATGCTGTAGGTCCCTCTGCTGGTTATCATTCTTACCGCAATCCACAATCTTTCTCCTTGGTGTTCCCACTTCATAATTGCATTCCTTTGCCCTAGATACTAGAAAGTTTAGAAAGACCACAGCTGAAGTATATTTCCACAGTATTATAAACCTACCTGTTTTTATCTATGCTACAGTGAGGGAGAGGAAAAGGTTTGGTGGTGATGGTGGTTTTTCTTTTGTCATTTTGTTCTGTGTTCTACAAAACTCAGTTTCCCTCCTTCTTAGTCCCCAGAGGTCTATTGATGGTTTCCATATCAATAAAATTAATCCTGGTATATTATTCCCTAAATAAAAATGTCTTCTCAGTAATTTTGTTTCCTTCCCTGTTCCGCATTAGAACAAGACACAGAAAGAATGATGAAAATTTAAGTCTATAATAATTTACAGTTATAAATTTTTATGCCTGCTAAGTGAACCATCTGTTGATCTAATAAATACTTAATATTTAAATTATTTCATAAAGATCTACAATATTCACATGAAACATAATTTTCATATGCTGTGTATTTAAATATCTTCCAGTCTCAGCTAATGAAGATCTTATTCTGTCAGTAAAAATAAAAGTCTTTAATATTAAATTTTATTAAAACAAAACATGGCTTTCAGGAGCTTATGCATGTCACCCAGACATAGTGTTCCTGTAACCTATTATTGTTTTGTTTAATGTAAGGAAAGCATCAAAATAATGCAGAGGTTCCAACAAGTACAAAGAAAATTGTAATATCCACATACTCAAGTATTTAGTGCTATTACATTTCACCTTTTAATTCCCATGTCTCTTATAGCATTGGCTGGTGGACCAACAAATATAATATCCGATTTATGGCAGAGTTCAGCAAATTCTGTGTTCTCTGACAGAAAGCCATATCCAGGATGGATGGCCTGGCAACCAGAACATTTTGCAATGTCAATAATCTTCTCTCTCCTGAGGTAACTCTCCTGAGATGGTGGTAGTCCAATGTTGTATGCTTCATCGGCCTAGGATAATAAATTCGTTCAGAACATACTTAGGGTTAGATTAGAAAATAAAGTAAAGAAGTATGCTCTGGGCAAAGCATGAATTTTTAGATCATCTTCTGTTTACTATTTTTCATTATTAACTTCTCCCAGTTCCCTTCACTGTTGTGTATTTACATGGAACCAAGTCAGGATGCCATTAATTACAAATCCTCACTATTATATTTGTGTGGAAGAACAAGAAGGAAGAAAATGTCTGAATCAGATACCATTTCCACATGTGCTGCACTGGTGTCAGCATCACTGTAGACGGCCACTGTTTGTATTCCTAATTTCTTGGCAGTCCTCATCACTCGACAAGCAATCTCCCCTCGATTGGCAACCAAAACCTTTCTGATTTGAACATAGTTTGAGGCTGAGCGCCATGGTTGGGTTTGAAGGAATACACTGTAATGCAGAAAATTACAATGAATATATCTATTAAGCCTTAATTTAATATTTAACATTTCTCGGTAAGAAAGTGTTTATATTTCATAACTCTTCAACTGCATTATTTTCTTGGAATTACTGTTAATAACCAGGTATGGTTTCTTACACATTGTTGATTGTAGTATGTAAATAATAGTTCTGTTTGATGTTTTTAGGTTAGGGTTTGTATCCTTTACCATTTTGAAAGTAGTTTTCCTCTGCTCTTCAAAGTCATTTGAATATTTGGTATGTTCTGCTTTATACACAACCTAGTAAACAAGTATGTAACTCAATTAAGAATAAGTGCAGGTGATATTAACAACTTAATATTCAAATACCCCCCTCGTATGATACAAAGTTCCTGTGGTACATGTGTAGAACATGCTGTTATCATGTGAAAGATCATGGCTGGTCTGAAGTTAGATGACGTATTGGCTGTTATAATAAAGTGCATAAACTTTGCTGCAATTAAACACAAAAACCAGCGACGGAAAGATCCAGAGAAAACTCCATATATCAATCATCCAATTGGTAAGGAAAGTTTCGAAAATGAAAGATTATTAGAGGCTTTGAAAACAAAGCAATTGTAGACTTATTTGAGGTAACGATTTTGTGAGGTTATAGTTCTGTAATGTAGTCCTGTTATGCCAGGGTGGTCTAGCGGTTAGAACGCTGGCCTTGTAATCCTGGGGTCTTGGGTTTGATTCCCGGCGGTGCCCGAATTTATAACTTGTGTTGGGCAAGGCCGTGGTCTAGGCAACACGGAGTTTTCCTCCGGGGGGGGGCTTCCCCGGTTTCTCCGTGGCATCCTAACAATTACTCCATTCACACACAGAAGAAGGCAATGGCAAACCACTTCTGGATCATCTGCCAAGAACGTATATGAACAGGTCCCAGTCTGAGAAAAGGATGGAAGGATCCTGTTCATATGGACCTGTCGTCAGACAGAACACTAAATAAATAAAATATAATATAGTCCTCTGAAGAAAAAAAAGTAATGAACTTGCTGATCCCCCACTGCTCTAAGTTGCTTAAATGTTGCTAGTTAATAAAATCCGTCTAAACACTATATAATCTGTGGTCGAAATCAAGCCAATATGAACTAACCTAACATAACATTAGAAATGCTATGATACTTAGTCTTATACATACATCATACAACTTTATAACATTCCCTGGATTTGTAAGTAAAGGGAGTGGTTGCAATGACATATTTTCATTCTAGGTGTAGCTAGAATTCTGACAGAGGAAGGAAATGTGCGAGATGTTGAAGTGATACAGGCAGCTCTTCTCCATGATACAGTTGAAGACACGGACACAAGTTTTGATGAGATTGAGGCTGAATTTGGTGTTAATGTTTGTCAATTAGTGAGAGAGGTGACAGATGATAAACATTTACCGAAAGCTGAACGAAAGAGGTTGCAGGTAATATACTTCCTCTTATTCACTAGTACTGACATGATGACTGGTGAAGTCCTTGATGGTCTTGTAATGCACACTATAAGCTTGGCAGGTGTACTTACCAGAACAAGGACCTGTAGAAGTGCTGTCATAACATAATACATGCTTCAGCTCTGAACATTTAGATGAATTGCTAGACTCATTACTATATAACTAATAATATAAGAAGAATATTGAATGACTTTCTGACTGTGTTTGTGTCATTGCTGCATTGATATCTTTTAACACAGAAAAATGTGAATCCTGTTTCTGGATAATGGCATTGTATACGTGTAGGCTGTGTAATGTTTTTATCCCCATTCCCAAGGTGTAGTAACTACCCATTTCATTAGACCATTTTGTGGGAATTACTTTGTTTTGTCTATTGAGTAACAGCCACAGGAAAGTAGGACTGAATATTACATCTTTAAGGGATACTCTCTATGTGGGGGCTGAATGAGTAGGATGTCCAGAACAGTGGGAAGACTGCATACCAGGGGCAAACAGTAGAAGGAATTAAGTAAAGTAAGAATAAAATATGGGTTTAGGAAAAGATAGAAGTGAAACTAGGGGGAAGATTGTGCAAAGAAGCACCAAAGAGATATCCAGCTTTATCATCCAGAACATTCTGTTTTGCAACATGCTTTAAGTCAGACATAACCGACACATTCATTTTTTTTTAAAAAAAACCATGATTGTCTTAGTGAAACAGTCATTTTTGAGGCCATTGAAATCAATATACATATTTTGGAACTTATATATAGAATTAGGTTATGAGCACAGCTCAGCTTGGAAGCCCATTATCTGTTTTCTGACAAAGCACGAAGGACACCTCAACTTTATTCAGCCTACAGGTTCTATTTCGGTGCCTAATATATCTGTCCACCTATCTGGAATTGATCCATCTCTTTCTGAGGCTGTCTGAAGAAAAGAAATTTATCTGCCCATATTTCACAACTTAAAATCTCTTTCTCTCTTTAACTTGGTCCATCACATCAAAAAGTGATGTCTTGACTATTCTTGTAGTCTTTTTCTATTTTTATTTTGATATTCTTCCACAGATTCTGTACCCTTTCATCCTTCTAATTAGTGATGACCAGAAAATAAAAAAAATGGATGATCTATGCTATTGTGTTAATGTTAGAAAAATATTTAGCTGAAATTCCATACTTTTGAAGAGATATGTTGTCATACATAATAGGAGATTCAAATATGTTACTGATTATGAATGTTATGATGCAATGGTTAACACTCCCATCATATTTTCAAGATCTCTTGGCCAGAACAATTGATCTGACTCAAAGTTTTGTTGTAATTATAGAGCTACAGCAGAAAACATTAATGTCAGATATAAATTTTATTTTTTGCTGTATGATGGCTGAAGACTGAGGAAGTTGCATTCTTCAATTCAATTTTATTCATCCTTCTTGATTATAGATAGAGCATGCAGCAGTATCCAGCCCTGGTGCAAAGCTGGTAAAGCTGGCAGACAAGCTCTATAACCTGCGTGATTTAGAGAGGGCATCACCAGAGGGCTGGGCACCAGAAAGAGTTCAGGAATACTTTGATTGGGCCCAGAAAGTTGTTAATGGACTGAGGGGTACCAATAAGGATATCGAGGACAGTCTAGATGAAATATTTAAAAGACAATGTCAGCTGATAGTTTGATGTTCTGACATCAAAGTGTGTACAACACCCATTCTCACAGAATAATGTTCTGCTTTGGTTTCTTATTAATGATCATGTAATGTGCAGCTGTAGTAGCATAGAAATGCTTTATGAAACCAAGAGGGTTTGAAAGGTGAATTCATTTTATGTCTGGAAGAAATTTGTAGATTGTATAACAGTCATGTACATTACTCATTTCATATGTTTATTGTGAATACATATGAATACTGGATACATTTACTTGGGAGGACAAAGAAAATAAAAATTGTTATTCAAGATTGCTGGTTTGTGCCAGGATTCAAACCTCATACATCCAAAATGCAAGTCAGACATGGCATTTCAGTGATGGTAATCTGATTGGTTATGTTATTTATGCCCTAATAAACTAATTTTTGTACATAGTGAAAAAGCAGCCTTTCATCAACCAGTCATAAATGGAATTTTAGGGACATTAGTTAGGTCTGACCTGGATTTTATGTCCCCTTAACTAGTGTCAATTGAAGAAAACATTTCAACAAAATCTATTCTTTCAGACAGATTGAATTTCTGCCTGAAGACATGCTTTTAGACATTGTTGTACATCATGCTGAAGATTTTGTAATCATCAGCAAAAATGATTTTGCTGTTGTTTAATAATTTCTGAATGACTTATGCAAAGTGAGATTAATACTTTATTTTTGCCCTTGAGTCACTTTGAGCATTGTGTTATGCGCATATGTAATTTCTGTTGACATTATCACAAAGTATGTGGTTCCATTGTGACAGAAAATGGCAACCTTTCAAGTATGGATATACTGTAGTCTACTTGGCCTGTTGTAATTGGCTAGTGTCGTTCCATGGCACCCAACCTTATGTTCACTCTGCCTAGTGACTACCAAATTCAGTATTCTGGGTTGTGATTTAAATTAGTTGATACTTTTACATTATTATAATTAAAGTTTAATAAAATAAGTAATTAGCAAGTGTTGAAGGACACCTGATTTCTAGCAAACGTTTCTACATTTTTATGTTGAGCAGTAGTGTTAGGGTAATTTTGGAAGTTGTGTAGTACGTATAAACAAGGTACTTCTCCAAGGCCGGAAAAAGATGCATGTAAATTTGAGTTAAGGTTAACTCTGAAAAATAAGGTAAATCAATAATTGTGTTTATTAGTATTTAAATTATTGTATGGCGTTCATTTTATTAATAATTTTCTTACACGACTAGTCTTTCCCTCGTCAGTGGAAAATGTTTTCGAATGAAATTACACTGTATTGTGTGTTGTACGTTTGCAACCGAGAGGTTATCCGTGATTGCATACAAGGAAATTTGAAATGATAAATGTCATGAGTTGTAATTACATTTGCGGTTGTAATGATTATAACCATGATATCTGAATTTATCGAGGTTATGAAGTAAACTGGAGGCATTTTCGCAAATGCCGGGCATATTGCATCGTGTTAACATGACATTTTGGAGAATGTGTGCATTTACTGGTGTACGTAGATATAGACAATTCTGCCTTAATTTTATTTTGTGTTTGTACTTTTGATATTCCGTTGAAAAATTGCTATGTTTCGATTTTTGTACATCCAGCACGAAGATGCAGTTTTTGGTGCTTGTATTGTTGGTGCACGTGCTGTATGGTGCAACTGGAGGTGCTTCAAGGAAGAAAACAAAGTCTGTCACAACACTCATAGAAGCTAAGTGGGAAATTACACCTTTGTTGCTAGAAATATCAGAATACCTTGGAGAAGAAAATGCAGATTTCTTATGGGAATTTGTGGATGGTGTAAGTGCCCTTCATCCTCCAATTACTGATTTGGGTAAGTAGAAATTCGAGTCTTGTAACTGTATTTGCTGTTTATTTATAGGAAACATTTATAATCACTTCAGTTACAAATTTAGCAATAATATGAAGGCTGTCAAAAGACAGCTGACAAATGTGTTGGCATTAAGTGTTTCAAATTTTTTTTGCTGTTTGCATGATTGTGTTTTTAGATTATGTGCATTTTAAGTGAAAAATAAGTTCATAATGTGTAAGAATTGAAGTTGGCTGTGTTTTAATTCACATACACTTATGTGTTTGTTTACTTTTTTATTTTATAAATTGATATTTAAAAGTGACTGTGTTGGTGATTTTATATAATTCTCTTGTTGCATGATGGGCTGTGGCAAAAGTGATGACACTTTGGAGCAGTGAGGAGAGTAGAGAAGGGGAAGGGGGTGTGGCACACAGTTTCTAAAACTTTCTCATGTTTTTCTAGCATTGAGTTGCATTAAGTTGTAGAATAATACAGCTATTGATTTAAGGTAATTCATATTTAATTGCAGAAAGTGACAGAGCTCAGTATGATAATGCATTGGATATAGCAGACCATTTAATTACTCCAGCACAAATATCTCTGCTAAAACTTGCGCTTTCTCTACACATCTATTCACCTAAGGTGGAAATGTACTCTCAGATGGCTGTAGGGCGAGGTGTGTCTAACATTTCATGCCCTACAGTTGCTGATGTAGCAGGGAAACTCACTTGTCATGTTGAAGAAATGAAGAAATTGATTACTCAAAAACAGGTGAAGAAGTTGACTTTTATTTCATGAAGAACTTTGTTATTTTTTTTTATGGGTCCACATGTGTGATCATTAATCCCATTTTCAACTTTCTCATTATATCTGTTAATGGTGTTGGGTGGATGTTGATGATGGCACGATAATACACCCTGTCATATAGTGGGCTTCCACTGTAATCATTATTATTTTGTGTGGAATAATTCCCAAGGCCGCTGGAAACAGGTTCTGTCATTTGTTTCTCAGGGGGATGATCTGGGGCACGCTGAAACTTTTGGTGTGGACCATCACTATCCAGGATCTCAAAATAACAGTCTCACCGTGGTGCTCTATGGAGAATTAGGAACTCGGGAGTTTGCGGAATTTCACCAGGTGTTAAAGACTTATGCGGTGAAGGGTGCCATTGACTATGTCCTTCGGCATTATGTTAAAGTAAGTACCAAAAGAGTAGTAATCATTACCGTGTAATCACAGTGTGAACCGGACATCTCTGTTCAGACTTCAGTCTTACTTGCTGTGAGTAATTTTGATGTTTGCCATGGACTGTTCGTTGGCTTTTTTTTCTCCCCTCCCCACACAAGTTACAGGTTAGGAAAAGGGTAATTTCATGTGGGAGCAGTTAATTTATTCTTGGAACAGTTTTATCGCACGTTTTGATTTCTGCTAAATTAAACAGATAACTCAAAGATGTAGTAATGTCAAATGAATATTTTTCTTATAGAAAATGTGGTTTTGGTTAATTAAATTCAGCATTTACAGAGTTATGAGCCAACCATTGTTAGCATACTTTACTGTCTTAAGGAAATAAAGTAGACTTATGTTCCTTCCTCTGTTTTTCTACTGATGCGTTTTATGAATTTACAAACATATTAATGGTGGATGACTTGCAAGTTTTATCTGACATCCAGTGTAGTTGGAAGCTTAATAAATGATTAGTTCTTTCCCAATAGAAAGTGATATTTTCTGCCAATGACAGTAACAACAACAACAACTACTGTGGCATTGTGTGATATATTTAAAATTTCAAGCAATACAAATTCCATATTAAAAATTGCCGCTTCATTTGGAATTGTATGGAAATTATGATGATGCTTTTATGTTAATGAGTCTTCGTGTCAGTTTTGCATCACTTAACAATTTATTAAATTCCATACAGTTTATGACACTTATTTTATTAATGCTTTTATTTTACACAAGGAACGTCCAAACAGACGAGTCCGTCTGTCAGGTTATGGTGTGGAGTTACAGATAAAATCGACAGAATACAAAGTACAAGATGATACAGAAGTAAAGGGAGACAAGGCTCAGGACAGCGATGAGCAGGATGATGATGATGATGATGAGATTGAAGGCTTCAATTTCAGCAGGCTGAAGTGAGTGTAGTCTTGTGATTTCAGGCGAATGTGTGGGCATTTTGCCTTTTAGTACATGGTAGGTTTGTCTCTGTGCTTCTGGATTCTGCTTGGTGCACGTAAAATTAGCAGAAATCACGTTGCCGAAACATGCACGTGCTAAATCTCTGTGATTATTATAATAATAACAGAGTATGTCTATAAGTTTCATGTGATTCTTCCAGTAAACTCTGATGTTTTTCTTTGATGTAAGGACTCTGTTTTTAAACGCCATTTAGGCAAGGATAGTTTAATTCCTAACGTAACGGCGTATATACTGAGAAATGTGTTTCCTTCTTGTGCAGAAGGAACTATTTGTGTTAAGTGGGAGCTTGTTAAACAGGAAAATGCTTGGGTCTCATGGATTTATATTATAAACAGGGTTTGTTTTAAAGTTGCAAAACTGTCTGTATATCAGCCTTATGTCATATCATTATTCTGCAGCAGCAATTGCTGATCACGTTATTTGTTCGTAAATAATACATTTTGACACACCCCAAGTAATATTATGTTTTTAATTTTCCACGTATTTATATATGACCCAAGAACGTTCATTTGCAGACACCTGTATCCAGACATGAAAGAGAAGTTGGATAAGTTGCGGCTGCATCTTCTAGAGTCGAGCAATGAGATGGCACCACTGAAAGTGTGGCAAGTTCAAGAATTGAGCCTGCAGGCTGCTGAGAGAATTATGAGTTCACCTAAAGAAGAAGCACTTAAGGTCCTAACCAACATTGCTCAGAACTTTCCTCTGCAGGTTAGTAAGTTAATTGGTAGCACTGTATTCTGACTAGCATGAAAGGGATGTTGATTCAGCATAGCTTGCTGGGTTACGTTTTGGGTGCAAGGAATGTATTTCCCTTTGGCCAGAGCATGGAACTCGTCATTTACTTCCTTTTAGTGCCAAGTTCGCTGGCCTTGTAATCCTGGGGTCTCGGGTTCGATTCCCGGCGGTGCCCGAATTTATAACTTGTGTTGGGCAAGGCCGTGGTCTAGGCAACACGGAGTTTTCCTACGTGGCATCCCAACAATTACTCCATTCACACAAAGAAGAAGGCAATGGCAAACCACTTCTGAATCATCTGATGGACCTGTCGTCAGACAGAACACTAAATAATAAAATAGTGCCAAGTTGTAGGAGCGCATGACCACTGCACTTTTGTGTTTTCAAACTGTGGCCCTCAATATAAGTGAAACGAAGATTGTAGGGCCACTTAGTCTAGTAGAAGTTTACAGACGTTTCAGAGGTATTTGCTGCCTCCGTCATCAGGACAGTGAAGCAGTAAACACCTGTGAAATATCAGTAAACGTCGAGCAGACTACGTGGCACTACAACCCGGAAGAGAGCCATGTTCATTATCGCGACCACGAGAACCTCAAGTCCTGCCACGTGAAAGTATCCTGTGAAGACGTCTTAGTTAACAAGAGCATGTGAAATAACTTTGCAAAATTCTACTGTTCCAGTGTTACCTGATGATTTCCCAGTCCACAAAACATGAGTTTCTAATTTTGCCTGTCTACGGAATCGTCTGTTGTCCGGTATTTGCCATCTCTGGCGCTGTGCCTGGGCAGAGTTTGCTGCTATTGTGATTGTTCATAATGATAGTCATCCATTGTATTGTATTTTTCTTAACATCTATCAGAATTTTGCCTTCCAATTTTTTTATTAATGTTAAAGAATATTTTGTGTGTCTGTGTCTTGATGGTAAGAGACCATTTAATTTAAGTACTGGATTTTAGATGAGATTGCAGGTTCTTACAGCAGCTATTATGAAGCTGGCTGTCTTCTGTGATGTTGCGCTGTGTATTCTGGTAGATAATGAATGACACTTCTGCCGTGGTTACTGCCTCCATATCAGGGTAAAACATAGGAAATGTAGTGGCAAACTGGCAGCTGTAACTCCCGGGAGATATCGATCATGGTTTTCTGGGTTGTGATGCCACGCGGCCTGCAGGTAATCACTTATTCAACATCGTATGGGATCTGAAACTGGAAGACCATGATTGACATCGTGAACCCCATGTCTCTAATAATTGTAGACAGGTTAGGTTAGGTTTGAGGAGTTACTAGTAATTTGAAATATGGTAGCATTTGGTGATGCAGAAAGTTCCTTCTGTCTTTCTTAACTGGTGTTATAAGAGAGTTCATCTATGTTATTTTAGATTTCCTTTTAATAATTGTTATAATATGCAGATCATCGACAAAGGTAAAGTCCCTGGTGCTTACTTAAGCACCGCACCTCAAAGAGGTGTGGGGCAGTGGAGGTTTAGCTACAGAATGTAAAAAAAGAGTTTCGGAACTTTTTGTTCACCCTCTGTGAATTTTGTTATGCGATGAAATAATGTGAGGATCACCACTGTAAAGCATATGAAGATCAAATCTACCTTGCTTCTTGTATGTTAAGAGTACTGCTAGCAGTGATGTTTGCCAACTAGGCGAGATCCCTTGTGCGGACTGTGGTCAAGGAGGAGCTGAAGCAAGAGATAAAGAGAAACCAAGAACTGTTTTCTTCATCCCTAAACCTGCAACCAACTGACACAGCCCTCTTTGTGAATGGCATGTTCTTTGACCTGGATGTAGTGGATATGATCTCGCTCCTAGAGGTCGTGCGGCAGGAACTTAGAGTCATGGAGGGACTTCACAATGTCGGTGGGTGTTTTGCATTTGTGGGCTTTCAATCATAGAAAGATATGAGCTGTAGATTTCAAACACTACTTTCAGTACAGGAAAAAAAGATTTTGTGGCTTGCGGCAGGAATCTTGTAAAAGCATTAGCTTATATTTAGAAGACAGAGTTTAAGGATCAGCTCTTACAATTTATATTTCTGTGGTGATTTTTTGTACTAATGCACATATGCATCACATCACCTTTATCTGTAACCAATTTAGCTTTAGTTTGGCATAAACCATAGAAAGAATAAAATGTATATAATGTTACATGTGTCTTGCACAGTACGTGTTTGTTATGTGATAACAATGCGTACATGTGTCGATGCTCTGCGATCTTAGCAAATCATTAAATAAAACAAAAATTACATTGCATATGTAATGAAAGGAGAGATGTTTATTGAATTAAAGCATATATTGATCTCATAATAAAATTAAAAATGTATATCACTGCATGTAAAATTGATGTTTCGAAATGAGTAGTCATATGTGTGTGTATGGCCTATCAGTGTAAGAAAGTATGGCACAAAATACACCAGCATGTTAGCATCATTCAAGAGTGGTTATTCCGTATGTTGGTTGGTACGTTCCTCAGATTTTAATTCATTTATATGTTTTGTTTATATATATGATTGTGTTCTGAATTGTGCAGGAATTTCGGATTCACGCATGAGCTCGATGTTGGCGCTCGACTTCTCTGGTTCTGGTTCGTCGTCAAGCCCAGAATATGCGATAGACATTCGTGACTCAGCTGTGATGTGGGTGAATGACATCGAACACGACAAACAGTATCGACGTTGGTCTGACTCTCTTATGGAGCTACTTCGTCCGACTTTCCCCGGAATGCTGCGAAGTGTCAGGCGGAACCTGTATAACCTGGTGAGTGTGCATTATATTCGTGATATGGGCCCGATGGTTATACGTGACTTCAATTCATTCAGTGAATGCTTTCCAGTAATGTGTTGTACGGATATAAGGTTTATGGGTAGGGACGTGTGTGGGTGGAAAAGTCAGAGATAATTTATTATTTCTCAACCCTTGTTTATTTAACCTGAGTAATTAGGAGCGTACTGTTAAATGAAATATATTTATTGGGTACGGTATTTGGTGTAATCTGTCATTGTGTGGTTGAATTTTGATCACGTTTATACATATTTTTTGTAACTAAATTGCAAGTGTGTGGTCTTTTTCTAGGTTATCCTTGCCAATCCAGCGAAGAAAGAAGCAAGACCTCTGCTGAAGTTGGCAGAATCTTTCTATGTCCATGTGGCTCCTTTGAGAATTGGACTTGTGTTTGCGGTAGATGCTGATCAGTCTGTCAGTGGCAATGTAGATGCAGGAGTTGCTTTGCTGAATGCTTTCAACTACATTTCAGATGTTAAAGATGCGTACAGTGGTCTGGCCTTCATTACTAGTGTAAGTTTGTGAACATGTGTTACTTATTAGGATGAGAGTACTTATTTTGTTTCTCTCCGTACACCTGACAGTGAGCTAGGATAGCAAAATAACTGATACTGGGCAGCTGGGATTTATTTTTTGATGGGGTGTTCCAGATTTCTGTCTGCACCTCTATGTCCATAACAACTGAGGCCCATGAAACATAGCTTTAAATCCTTATTTTGCTACAGGTTTATGCCACAATAAAAGAAGATCGAGATGTGACTGTTGAGGACGTGATTTCACTGCTGAGTACCAAATATCGTTCGGCAGATGTGAATGAGATATTTGGAGAGGACTCGGAATATGATACAGGACGGAGGTTGGCCCGTGATTTTGTAGAGGGATCAGGCTTTAGGAAAATCCCACAGGTATTGTAATTCAAGAATGAGATCATAGCACATTTTACTTGGCCGCCCTGTTTCAGATAATTGTCAAAGGTGTGCGTATTATTTTGTGTTTCATTAGTGCACGCTGTGTTTCCCCTCTTCCTGAATATGTTGAAAGCCGTGTTTATAATATCTCGCGCTTTATGTGTCCTGTAGCATCACCAGAATTAAATATGTCAAGAGCTTTTACTGTACTTTCAGCTCTCTATTATTTATGAGTCACTGTTCTGTGGCAAATTTAATTAATTATGAGTTTCTGTGCATCCTTGGCCCATGCAGTATTTTGTCTTGTGCCCAGAAGTTTCAGAATAACTTTTGTACGTATTCACAGTTGTCTTGGCAGCATTACAGTTATTGTTCCCCGCCTTTGATAGTGAAGCAGATTTGTCCCTGTTGCAGGCGTTGCTGAATGGCATACCTATTTCAGAGAAACATCTAAATGCTGAAGACTTTGAGGAAGCTGTGCTGTCAGAGATCATGAACCAGACACCAGTGTTTCAGAAGGCAGTGTACAAAGGGGAATTCACAGATGGAGATAATGCACTTGATTTTGTAATGAACCAGCCTAATGTCATGCCTAGGTATTTATTTTTCTTTAAAACCTTGAGCTTCAGATTTCTAATCATTTTTGTGTTTGCTATTAATAGAACATATTTAGCAAATGCTTCTTATGTTTATTATTTCACGTATGAGGATAGAACAAATATTTTCAGGATTTTAGTTTATTTTGCACCCAGTATGTGTGTTGCAAGTGTATGTAATTAACCCCCAGTTCCACAGATTGCTTCCATTAATGTACAAGCTTCAAGAGCCAAAGGGCATATAAGTCTTTGAAGTCTGTGCGGGAAATGAGGGACAAACTGCTGGGCTTCATCATCAAATTTTTGGTCCCCAGTGAACTCTTTTGAGAGGCCCAAGAGATGGAAAAAGTGAAGCGTAACCTGGACAAAAATAAGACTCGGACTGTGTGGCGTCTGTACTGTTGCAGGCTGAATGACCGTATTCTGAACCAGGACAAGAGCCACTATCTGGATGTGACGGGCTCCCCTCTCGCAGGGGACATAACTCTGACTGTGGAGTCATTCTCTAATCTTTCCCATCGTGACATGACCGCCACAATTATCAGTCGAGGCGTTCAGTACTTCGTGAAGAAGCAGTACGCGGATAAAGCCGCGAAAGTGCCGCCTCACATCATCACGCATTGGGTGGTGACAGACCTTGGAACAGCTGGTGGACGACAGTTGTTGGCGCATGCACTGGATCAGATGGTGCGTATGTCTGTGCGACTGGCGTGCAATGAAAATTGTTTGTGAAGACTTTGAAGGGAATGTGAACATGATTATAATATTGTCAAAACTGTTAACAGTGGCACTTGTGTGACACATTCTTTTGGCGGTGTAGTACGGTGGCTTAAATTCTGTCCAGAATTGCATCAATAAATCATCGTACTTGTTTCATGTCAGGCTCTTTTCTTGATGGGCTCTCCCTCTATATGCACTTACTAGTCAAGTCTACAGGATGGGTTTGTACACGGTGGAGACATTGAGAAACAAAAGTTGTGGTTCATATTTGTACTATACTCACTGTTTAGAATCTGATTCTTAATCCGGTAGGTGCCATGAAGTTGTTTCAGTGTGTTACAACATAAAGATATTGTTGGTGTATTTTCTGTTGGCAGCGGTCCAGCGGTAGTATCCGC